AGAAGCTGATGATGATGATACATGGGTGTGGAGAAGCTGATGATGATGATGCATGGGTGTGGGGAAACTCATGCTGATGATGCATGGGTGTGGGGAAGCTGATGATGATTGGGTGTGGGGAAACTCATGCTGATGATGATGATACATGGGTGTCGAGAAGCTGATGATGATGGTGCATGGGTGTGGGGAAACTCATGCTGATGATGCATGGGTGTGGGGAAGCTGATGATGATTGGGTGTGGGGAAACTCATGCTGATGATGATGATGCATGGGTGTGGAGAAGCTGATGACGATGATGCATGGGTGTGAGGAAGCTCATGCTGATGATGATGCATGGGTGTGAGGAGCTCATGCTGATGATGATGCATGGGTGTGGGGAAGCTGATGATGATGATGCATGGGTGTGGGGAAACTCATGCTGATGATGATGATGCATGGGTGTGAGGAAACTCAAGCTGCTGATGATGATGATGCATGGGTGTGATGATGTATGTACAGTATGTTGAACTTCTTTCGGACCGTACGTAGCCAACCGTGCTAATCGGAGATGCAATGATGATGCATGAAAATGCATGGGTTTGAAGAAGCTGTTGCTGATAATAATGCGTGTGGAAAGGAGATGCAGTAGTGGTCCTGTGGATACAAAGCCGGTGCTTCTAGTTGTGAGTGTAAAGGTGTGGGGATTTAAACGCGGTCTGAAAAGGCCATACTCGGATGGGCTAAAACACATTTTATTTCTTACATGAAACTTTTCACGGAGGCCAGTTTACATATTTTATTTGACAAGCACACAGTTGGTGTCGACACACGGAATTGCACGTGTGTCTTGTTTTGATGAATATCAGCATTAGCATTCAGACCAAACTGCGTTAGCTACGTCCAGCCCTTCGAAAACATCTTTGTAGAATACATGACACTCACGACCGGATTCATGCAATACATATTAACACAGAAATACGTTCGGCAGGGATATGTACAATCCACTGCTGGATGAGGGCCTGTCCACGCTGTGTGGGTCATGGGCGGGGGGGGGGGGGTTACATGACCGTCATCTTCACCAGCGTTGTTCAATGCGTGTTGGTAAACATAGGGGGCAAAGCCTCGATCGGGGAGTTGAAAAGGGGGGGGGGGCATAGAAAGTATAGTACAATACAACAATACATGTCACTGCTGGCCACGTATGCATGTCGTCTCTAACAAAAACAACAACAAACAAGAAGAAGCAAACTGCGGTCACCCAATCCAAACACGCGCATCCCAAATCCAGACTCTATCCCTGGGCAGATTCAGGGCGTTTTGGCGAGTGAAGAAGAGGCTTTCGTGTAATAATGCACGCGTCGGGCGATGCAGCTGTCACAATGCTCCACGATATCATAGCCTCCCCCCACACCGTAATGCGCTATTAGGATGCATTACTTATGCGAGTGCCTCGTGTCTATCTGATGGTTGCAGCAGCCGCAGAGGCGTTCGTGGGACGCGCGCGCACTTCACAAACGCGGCAATTCCACGCGCATAATAGCCCCACGTGCGCGCGTGTTGTGTATGGTGGGTGCGTTGTGGGGGGGAGGGGGAGGGGGTGGGCACCCTGTATTTTTGCACGCATTGTCAAATGCCTTATCTGCGCCACTGCGTAATAATTGCTCTGGGTTCACGGCGCGCTGCAGCCAAGACGTGGCTCTCTCGCTCGCTCAAGCCGGCTGGCTGGCTGACGCCTCAACGTTAACGAGGTTTTTGTAAATTGTTTTTTTACCCGTTTATCTGGCAACAAAACTGACACTTTTTTTTACAAGGAGTCATGTTTGCATAGACCACAATACCTGCAGTCGGAATACAAAAAAAATATAACTCTGATCATGTATGCACTGTCCTTGAAGTTGATTGGTCCACACAAGAGACAGCTTTCCTTAGAGCCTTTTGGCGTCATCTGGTCCAACATCATGTGAGACTAGGCTCTAAGGAAAGCTGTCTCTTGTGTGGACCAATAAACTTCAAGGACAGTGCATACATGATCAGAGTTATGTTTTTTTTTTGTATTCCGACTGCAGGTATTGTGGTCTATGCAAACATGACTCCTTGTAAAAAAAAGTGTCAGTTTTGTTGCCAGATAAAATGGTAAAAAAAATATTATCATATTTTTCTACTGGCAAATGAGGTTCCAATGGTGGGGTTTTTGTTGTTGTTGTTGTCCCTGGCAGTATTTGAATTCGCAGCGATGAACAATTGCGAGCTGTGGGCGAGTGTCACAGCCCGAATAAGCCGGATCAAATCAACGTGCCCACTTACGTCACCAAAAGGATGACCTTCCACACGTAGGCGCAGTGCGCTAACCACTGCGCCACCTGCCCCCGAACGCATATAGTATAAGCCTTAAATAAACCAAAAAATGTGCTAAGTTGCTACGAATCCCATTATGTCAAAGCAAAAGTAAATGCAGATGGTTAATATAGAAACTAACGAATATGAATGTAAGCCTCATGAAGTTATATGAATAATAACATCATGAAAAAATGTACAACTTTAATGCATCCACTGCTGTTTCTGTCATGGGGGAGGGGAGTTTGTTTGACTATAACTCGTCACTGATGTTAGCCGTGGTCGGTAATTCAAAGCGTAATGCTCAAATCAATGAGCCAACGCTCCGCCCCGATATCACTGATGCAGAATGATAATATCGATCATCTGGTAAGACCTCGCTTAAGTCGTAATGCTCTTTGTCAAGAGGGCCTTGCATTGGCATGTTTGTTCATTTACATTCATGCTAGTTTGGGATTCATTTGGGAGGACAACCGAGAAACCTGGAGATAACCCAGCACCGCGTTGCTGCATACCAGGGGGAGACACTCAGTACTAACACCTGGCAAGCCCTGGTGGTCACCCGTCCTAACCTGTCCTCACAAGGCACACCCTCTGTTGGTGAAGGCGGTGGCGAAGATGGGCCCAGACATCACTCGCCAATCATGTCAGCCGTGGCCAGGAATTGAACTCAGGGGCACCGGGTTTGTAGTGCAGTGCGCTATCCACTGCTCTAACATCTTACGAATGTTATATCATGGGCTAAAATATCAACCCGTTATAACTAAATCGCGTCATCCATCAGCATATATCAAACATCCCAATAGAGGGCCTAATTAAAGAGGTTGTTCATATTTTTCTTCTTGGTTCTTTCGGCAAAGTCACTTTACCGAAAGAACCAAGAAGATGAATCCCTGCAGTCACGAAAGCTTTAAATCAAAAGGTGTTCATATTGTTCTGGGTAAAGGAAGGGTATCATTATTGTAGTCATTATAATCTGCAGGACTACCACCACAACCGCCATCGTCAAAACGGCACTGCCGTAGTGTGGCTACAACATTAGGTGGGAAGTGAAAACCGCATGCTGTGTTGAATCACATTTTATGAAAGCTCGTCAAAGGAACGTGGAATTTTCACTGCTAGCTCACGACAGCCAAATGAGATGAGCGTTGCAAGTTTAAGGCCCAGCCTCGGGCACTTACGGAATCAGGCATTGACAAGAATGACACGTGCTCACAGCGCCACCACGTGGTCAATTGCTGCCACGACTGATCCGCCTTCTGTCACCATTCCTCAAGGGTGTCCCAGATGCCTTGTGACCCCTCCCCCCCCCCCCCATTAATTGACCCCTAACATTATTTCCCCTTGCACATTCATTTTTGTTATAAATGAACATTACTTTTAAAAAAACATATTAAGTTTTAGACAATGCAATGGGGTTGGGGGTCACAATACATCTGGACCACGCTGTATGATTTCACCTGGATCACAAACAACGCTGGCGAACAGAATGTATCACCTCATTCGAGACCCAAACATTAACATAATCAGCATCGCCCCGCCTGGCTTTGACATTCCTCGCCGACGGTGAGCCGGTTTGAAACAATTCAGGCTTGGCATGCCTAACATCCTGGGTTTAACCAGGTTGGATCGTGTGAGGAGCTCACAGATCCTTGAAAGACACCGTCCCATCGGTGAGCTTCCTCCTGCAAGGCGAGACTGCACTGGCTGGGTCATTTAGCCCACCCCGCATGCCCAGCCACCGCATGCCCAAGCAGCTTCTGTTTGGCCGGACAGAGGAGGCAGAACTTGTGCACAGACTAGAGAAGAGATGGACTGATGGGTGAGTGGGTGACACGGGCTAGAGATGGACTGATGGGTGAGTGGGTGACACGGGCTACAGAAGAGATGGGTGAGTGCGTGGGTGACATGGGCTAGAGAAGTGATGGACTGATGGGTGAGCGAGTGGGTGACACGGGCTAGAGATGGACTGATGGGTGAGTGGGTGACACGGGCCAGAGAAGATATGGACTGATGGGTGAGTGACACGGGCTAGAGAAGAGATGGACTGATGGGTGAGTGAGTGGGTGACACGGGCCAGAGAAGAGATGGACTGATGGGTGAGTGAGTGGGTGACACGGGCTAGAGAAGAGATGGACTGATGGGTGAGGAGTGAGTGGGTGACACGTGCTAGAGAAGAGATGGACTGATGGGTGAGGAGTGAGTGGGTGACAAGTGCTAGAGAAGAGATGGAGTGATGGGTGAGTGAGTGGGTGACACGGGCTATAGAAGAGATGGACTGATGGGTGAGTGCGTGGATGACACTGGCCAGAGAAGAGATGGACTGATGGGTGAGTGCGTGGGTGACACGGGCCAGAGAAGAGATGGACTGATGGGTGAGTGGGTGACACGGGCTAGAGAAGAGATAACCGGTTTGTGCCCGCCCTCACAGTCAGGCATATTTGCGGAATACACCACGCCGCCGTTGACCCTGCAGGCCATTGACCGAGCAACCCAACGTTCCTACCAGCTCCCTCTGCAGGAGGAATGTGTTTTGTGACAGAGGGAAACCCCCTCGGGTTTGGCATGCAGCCCCTCCCTTGATTCACTTCAACCAATGAGCGATCGCCTTGCTTGGAGGGGCGGTACCGTGAGCTCTGCGCGTCGTCGTCCAATCAGCGGCGGCGACGTTGCCGCGCGCGGGAGATAACAAACACAGTTTGTGCGTGAGGCGGCGGAGATTTTAATTCGTTTCGTTTTTTAAATAAACAACTGCGGACGAGTTTAATGGCGAAGTCGCTTACACTGTGTAACGAGTAAAAAAAAACATCGCGTGAATAACGTGTACGTTAAAAAATTATAATAATCAAATCTTACTTTGCATGCGTCGTATACGTTGATACGTGAGTGCAGTTTGCGTGTTCTAAAGGCGCAGCACTGCAATTGCTCGGTGAGGTCGCACTGCTGCTGGTGGAAGGGCCTCTTAGTCTCAAGGGTATTTTGGCCTACTCTTCCACGCTGGCCAGCCGCGTTTGCAAGAGGTGTGGGAGTTCCCCACCCCCCCCCCCCCCCCACACGGACCTGAGCAATGAGCTTGCTTGGTGGCGAGATCTGTCGAGGATTTAGAAAATCTTCTTTGCATCGTGTTTTTATCGCAACCCAGAGACAATCTGGGGGGTTGCAATCCCATTGCGAAACCCTATAGACCAAGACGGCATCGCTTATGGGGCAGTTTTCTTCACTGATTTTCAGAGAGGGGGGGGCTGGGGTATAGCACTTTGGGCGTACAGACAGCATCTGTGTGAGGGTCGCCACACGTTTAGCACCATGGGGGGTTTAACAGTAGCAACACGATGTTGTCACTCCATTGGAACCTCCTTTGCCAGTAGCAAAATATGATAATTGGGTTTTTATCCTTTTATCTGGCAACAAAACTGCGCCTTTTGGTGTCATCTGGTCCAACACTATGTGAGACTGGGCTCTAAGAAAAGCTGTCTCGGGTGTGGACCAATCAACTTCAAGGACAGTGTATACATCATTATCAGAGTTCTTTTTTGCATTTTGACTGCTTGTGTTGTGGTTATTGCGAACATGATCCCTTGTATACAGGTGCCAGTTTTTGTACCAGTTGAAAGGGTAAAAACCTATTACTATATTTTGCCACTGGTAAAGGAGGTCTCATAATGTCTGTTGTACTTGCATCGATTTGCAGATGGTAGTCGAGTAACAATCGACTAAATGTATTATTCTTGTGTTTGTTTGCATTCCGATCGCAGGTATTGTGGTCAATGCAAACATGACTCCTTGTAAAAAAGGTGTCAGTTTTGTTGCCAGATGTTGTCACTGTCGGGGACCGCACTAAGAACACTCACCTAGAGCCTTATGGTGCAGCATCCCTAGACATTTACTGCACTGCAAGGTACAACATGCAGTTGTCTAATAGAGCAGCCGCTCATTCCCCTTCACGTTAAAGTTGCCGTCTGTTAGCTGTTGAGTGATGTGTGCCCTCTTCTCTAGAGATGCGACCACGTTCAGCCACTTATAAGATAATTGATGATATTAAGGCCAGTTTAGATGGGGGACGACGGCTATGTGGCAACATCCTTTGCTCTCCTGCCCTCAGGCTGGCTTCACAGCCTCACTGTCACAGCAAGCACAAGGGGTTATGTTTACCGTATCCCCAACAACTTCACAGCGTGGGAAGACCTTCATCTGACGGTGCATTGACGAAAAAGGGCAGCGATTGTACATGCGCATGAAATGTCCTTAATTGCGTTGTATTTTTGTTTGTTTGCTTGAGGACACACAGGGCATGAGTGAGACGGAGGGTCGGGGGAGAGGAGGTGGAGGCTGGCTGCGAGGTGGCCACAGAAGCTGGCGCGGTGCTTCAAGAGGGTCAGGAGGTAGCTGGCGTGGCCGCTACAACGGCCGGGGAGGCGGTGGTGGCAGCTGCTTCCGTGGTAATAATAAACACATTCACTTGTAAGGGAGCTGGTAGGAACGTTGGGTTGCTCGGTCAATGGCCAGGGTCAATGGCGGCATGGTGTATTCCGCAAATATGCCCGACTGTGAGGGCGGGCACAAGCTGGCGTGAGTAGGTTAAACGTTGAGTTTTATAAGGGCATCACGGGGTGACCAGCCCCTCCCCACCCAGCCCCACCCCTCCCACCCCCCACCCAGCCCCACCCAGCCCCTCCCTCCCCACCCAGCCCCCACCCCACCCAGCCCCTCCCCACCCTCCCCACCCAGCCCCTCCCTCCCCACTCAGCCCCTCCCTGCACGATGGACGGACGGACATAATAATCCCCTGTGGGCTGGTGTAACCAGGAGGTTCCTACCAGTATAACACATTCACTTGCAAGATCTTGTACCTTCATTTCGCCTTTCGATTCCCATCCCGACATGATAAGGATTCGAGTTTGGCTTTGCGGGTCGCTTTGATAGGCAGCTTTATAATGGACATCTGTGATAAAGAGCTTTATAGCTCATCAGATTCCGCCAGTATACATACAGATTATGATTCTTATGCGATACAATCTCAAAGCACCTTACAGCATATCTCATTTGAACCATTGCACTTCCCTGTCGTAGTCTAGCATAAGGGGTCTCAAGTGGCAACTTTCAGTGCAAGGTCTAATGCAGCACTGGTGTATGTGGTGACTTCCCATTTAAGTAATTTGCCAATTGTATTGAAAAAGTTGGCAAATTTGGACCATCCCAACATGGCCTGCACTTTTAAAAATAATGTCCTTGAATCAGACGTTTGTTAATACATCATCTATCCCTCATGCTGTGCAGGCCATTGGGGTTATTTGAGAAATTTTCACGATTTGTAAGTTGGTGAAGGCGGAGCGCATAGATGTGGGGGCATAGAAGCGCACTCCAAAAACGTATTTGTTTAACACATAGGCTTTCGCGACCAATATTATCCATACTACAGGTTTTTTGGGTTAGATCGTGTAAATGTATTTGTTGAGAATAGGTTTTCCTATTTTTTCTGGCAACAAAACAGGTGTTCAGATGTTAATACACCAAACTGAAACCTTTTACAAGGAATCATGTCTGCATTAACCACGATACTTGTGGTTAGAATTCAAACAAAAAACATACTCTGATAATATATGCATTGTCTTTGAAACTGATTGGACCAATCATCTTAACACATGTTTGTTTAGGGGAAAACCTATTATCATATTTTGGTACTGGCAAAGGAGATCCCATAATGTATTTGTTGCGCTGCCTTCTGCTGCCCACCACGTAGCCTCGCAAGCGTTATGACAACCCAGCATGCATAGCGGTTGCCAATCAAAACATTGTCCCTGGCTACTGCTTGCTGATGGTGAAATTCTAGATGATTTAATCATAGGTTCATCATGATCAATACCTACAAAATGTTTCAGGTGGATCCAATGTGTCATCTCCAAAGATTCCCTCTTCGTGCCAAGCCAGGGTCCTTCAAACCACCCTGGATGATTTCTGCCCATACCCAGGATGGAAGCTCTACTTTCCTTCCGAAGGTGGTTGATGTATTTTTATTGCCTCCGTGCGTTTGGCATCTTGTGGTGGTTTCATTGTAATAGTGACATATGTACTGCTATTTTGAATGAGGACTGTCATTGTCTATGAATGTTTAATTTATTGTCCATTCCAAATGCACTTTTCTTTTGTCACTTGATGAACACTTTCCAGTGCTACATTTTTCTGTGTTTTTTTGGGAATTTATTTGGACCAGACACAGTATTTACATGACGACTGTTTGCGATGTCATGTTCCACTTGTATTATTGACTTTGTGTGTTTTGTTGTGTTTCTAGTTTATTGCAACTCCGGAGGAATTGTCACCAAAGTGGAGGCCTTTGAGAAGTTTTTCATTGCAAGACTTGAACTGTATAATAAGGTACTGTGAATTTACGTTACAATTCCTCGTTAGTATTTTTTTTAGCTTACAATAACTTTGGTATTTGTTTGTCAATGAGCCACCTGTCTATTTAAAGGCCTCCTGTTAAACCATTTTTGGATTTTCCAAGAATGCCTCAAGTTTCTAATGACGTATTGTATGCATGTTAAACTATACTTCAATAATATAAAGCCCTTTCGCTAATCGACTGCTGGATGAAGATCTTTCCGTACCATTTCGTGTTTTTGACGATACTGCACCAGTGCAGGTTGGCGAAGAGGGAGGTGGAGATGGGACTGGTTCAGATATCACTCACCACTGATTGTTTGCTATGACTGCGAATTTAACTCAACTTTTCGGGTCATAGTGCCGTGCTTGAACCACTTCACAACCATCGCTCCACCTCACTTGAATATCAATATAATTGTACCATAGATTTTCAGAGAAGGGCATTTATTGATCTTGTTTGGTGTCTTAGATATCAACTTAGTCTTATGGGGCAGAAAGCTGAGGCTCTTGTGTAACACATTCCTGCGGAGGGAGCTGGTAGGAACGTTGGGTTGCTCGGTCAATGGCCAGGGTCAACGGCAGCGTGGTGTATTCCGCAAATATGGCCGACTGAGGGTGGGCACAAGCCGCCGTGAGTAGGTTAAACGTTGAGTTTTATAAGGGCACCACGGGGTGACCAGCCCCTCCCCACCCAGCCCCACCCCTTCCACCCCCCATCCAGTCCCACCCTCCCCACCCAGCCCCTCCCCACCCAGCCCCTCCCCACCCTCCCCTCTCCACCCAGCCCGACCCCTCCCATTTTTGGATGCCCGACGGACGGACGGACACAATAATCCCCTGTGGGCTGGTGGAACCAGGTGGTTCCTACCAGTAAAAGTTAATGTGCTCTGCTGTGCTTGTTTGGTTCAGGATGAGATTGAAGAGAAAGGTAGCATCCTGGTGGACTTCAAAGAACTGGTGGAGGACCACTGTCTGACTGTCGCTATGCCTACGCTGACAGATGACCTTGCTGAGACTCCTGACCGTGTGCTGCAGTACATGGGGTTGGCCGTGCATCAGGTCTACTTACACTGCACCCCACGTCTAGACATTCAAACTCAAATTTCACCCGAGTTCTCATCACACTGATATTTTGACCATAATCCATCAACAGTGATAATACTTGTTCTCGTACAGCTCTTTTTTTAACCCACTGCAGGATCAGAGTCTTCTCACACCGTGCGGGTGGTGGGAGTTATTTGAGCATACTTCACCATGCTGGTCAGTGCATGGTGGTGAAGGTGGGGAGCACAGACTAGGAAGCATTAACGAACATCACAGCGATGGATGTTGCTGCACTGCTCTCTGCTGACAACGTAGTTCCACAGCAGCCTACAACACTGGTCGCCGATCCAAGCACTAGCCACTCCCAATACCTACTTGGATTGCTAAATCTGATAAGATAGGGCTCATTCCGATTGCTTTGGTTTTAGGCTGCTAATTCTTGTATGTATTTTGAACTTCTTACGCACCATACTTAGTAAACCGTAACATAAGTTTTGTCCAGAGTATCACCAATTCTAAACCTTACCCAAATGCTATGTTTAGACCTGATCTATTACAATTTAATATATCAGTCTCTGATTTGGAGTAACAAAAAAATAACATCTCATGGGGCAGTTTTTAAAACAAACCTTCCAACACTTCCATACAGACAAATGAATGAACATCGACCCCCGTCGTGTATAAATTTCACGCATGAACAAAAGTAGTTTCGGTTTATTTTCTTTTTGGAGTGAATATGACTTAGGGTCTTTGTCGGCAGCTGTGCCGATGATGTTGTAGCCGCTCTCACTGCTCGTGTCTGTTATTGCCAGACCCTTACGAAGGACTTGGAAAGTCAGGTGGTGCAGCTGCAGAAACAAGCCGACATCCAGCAAGAAGAGGCGCCCACCGTGAACGTGCCTCTTATAAACGTTCGGTAAAAATAATAATAATACATCGTGTTCTCCTATAATGCGGTGGTTGCATTCCTAAAGAACATTGCGTCATGGAAAAATCGCGTTATAATGAATAATCTATATTATAGGTAAAAGCACAGTCCGCGATAGCATGCGAGATGCGTACGCAGGCTGAAGAAAGTCTGAGGTGCGTGGGTATTGTCTTGGAAGCATCGAGCAGCATCCCGCCTTGTGTGATGCTACGCCGAGGCAGCCGTACAACCGCTTACTCCGACTCGTGCAACGTAGTTCTGCTAACTCGATCGCGTTATATCCAATTCGCATCCGTGTTGTAAAAAGTATGTTCTCCAATACATTTATCTCGTTATTTCTAATTCGCGTTATGAAAACACGCGTTATAAGAGAGGAGACTGTACAAGTACATCTACAGCCCATTTTGTAAATCCACTTTGAGTGAATGGAAAATGTCCCCCCTAACACTGAGTTTCTGCTTTTTATTTAACGTAAAAAATAAAATAATGAGCCCTTACATGCACATACAAAGTTGGCTGTCGACTGTGCAACAGTTGCGGAGGCTGGTGTGGTGGCATCGATCGCATTAGGTTGTGATGACGTCTTGATGTTCATGTTCACATTTACTGTGTACTCTGAACTTAATGTACCTATATATGTCAATCCACTGTTAAATGAGTGCCTCACCGTGCAGGATGTGGTGAATAATTTTTGCCGTATTGCATCACACTGGACCGTGCGAGTTGACTAAGCTTGCATTTTACCCTGACCTGTACGATTACGTAAGGTCAAACAACCCCCACAATCGGCACGGCATAGGGAGGCCTTCGTTCAGCAGTGGGATCGACGGTGGGTTGTACATTATTGGTTTTATTTCGTAAAATTTTCACGTCTCGTTTTTGTGACCAGAATTTACAACTACGAGCCGCTGACCCAGTTGAAGAACTTGCGTGCCAACTGCTACGGGAGGCTGGTGGCGATACGCGGCACGGTGGTGCGTGTCGGCAACATCAAACCGCTGTGCACTCGTCTCGCCTTCTCCTGCAATGTGTGCGGAACCGAGCAAGCGCTGCCGCTCCCGTACGGGAAATTCACGCTCCCGACCAAGGCAGGTATCCCGCTCTCAAGTCATTCGTTCGTGCATTCATTCACTAATTCATTTGTTCTCAAAAGCACAAATCGGCCCGAGTGAGCCCGTTCTGGTCAGATTACGAAAACCAAACGGGATTGAGCTGCCTCAATGAGGGCCTCCTACACTGCTTTTTGTGTTTAGTTTGTTGTCCTTACCCCCGCACTTCCAATTATCACGGTTGGTTACGTACGGTGCTAAAGAAGTTCAACATACATTAATTCGCCATGCGGGTCGTGGGGGTTATTGGGCTATTTCACCATTATGGTTTGCGTGGGTTGGTGAAGGCGCTGACAGCGTAGTTCTGCAGGAGAACACAGCACCTACACTATGGGGACCTCATTTGCCAGTAAAAATATGATAATTGGTTCTTTACCCTTCTATCTGGCAACAAAACTGACACCTTTTTGCAAGGAGTCATGTTTGCATAGACCGCAATACCTGCAGTCATAATACAAACAAAAGAACATAACTCTGATAATGTGCACTGTCCTTGAAGTTGATTGGTCCACACCCGAGACAGCTTTCCTTCGAGCCTAGTCTCATATGGGTTGGACCAGATGACGCCAAAAGGCGCACGGTGCGCCTTTTGGCGTCATCTGGTCCAACCCATATGAGACTAGGCTCGAATGAAAGCTGTCTCGGGTGTGGACCAATCAACTTCAAGGACAGTGCACATTATCAGAGTTATGTTCTTTTGTTTGTATTATGACTGCAGGTATTGCGGTCTATGCAAACATGACTCCTTGCAAAAAGGTGTCAGTTTTGTTGCCAGATAGAAGGGTAAAGAACCAATTAACACAGCACCTGTTTTATGGTTGTCACCCATCCAAAAATGATCCAGGGTCAACGCAAGCTGGGTTGAACAGGTGACCACACCAGGTGTTTAGGCATGGGACTGCAATGGGGAGCCGGGAGATGGCAGTCCTGGGTATCGCCTCCTCATATGGCGTGGGTTTCTCTGGGTACTCCAGTTTCTTCCTGGCACAATTTCAATGTTCCCTGGTAATCATGTGTTCCCACGTTGAAGATTTTATATGGCTGAAAAATGTTACGTTGTCGTTTCACTGTCGCGGGTAATTAATTTGGTCATGTTCGTCTGTTCGTGGCGTGCGTTTTTAAACGTCTAAAGTGCGCAGATGAAGATTGCCGCTCGAGAACATTCATGCCGAACAGACGCTCTCAGCTCACCGAGACTGTTGACTGGCAAAATATCAAGTGAGAAAAACGCAAGGCTCTCTTCTGTTGAGTTATACGTTCAACAAAACAAGGTTAAAACAATTGCGAGTCAGGCATTGCACTGTCTCACAAGAAACATAATTAATCACAATGTACTCACGCCTGTCTTTAAGCGCATTAAAGTGTTTGAATAGTATTTGTATCTCAAAGTCCTGTACTCGTACAAATGCAATTGGAAATCGGGATAAAGGTAAACGATCGAGTGACTTCGTCGCCAACACTGAAGTCCTCAAGTCAGCGAAGGTCATCAGCATCGAGGCCATGGTCCTCAAGACACAGCTTCGTTGGGCAGGGCACATCGCCAGGATGGAGAACCACCGCTTGCCTAAGATCGTGCTGTATGGGGAACTGTCCTCTGGCCATCGCGACATAGGGGCACCACGAAAGCGATACAAAGACTCCCTGAAGAAGTCCCTCACTGCTTGCTGCATCGATCACCGTCAGTGGGCAACACAAGCAGCTGATCGCAACTCCTGGCGGCACACAGTCCACCAGGCCACCTCCTTCTTCGAAGATACCCGCAGGGCCCGTATGGAGGACTAAAGGAGAAGGAGGAAGAACCATGATCCCTCAGCACCCATCCCAGATGAGACCTATACTTGCAGCTGTTGTGGCAGGACCTGCTTGTCCCGCATAGGCCTCTTCAGCCACCAGCGTGCCTGCAGAAGACGTGGATGTCCTTCCTAGATCTTCGTTCGCGAAGCCAAGCCATGATGATGGTGATGTAAAAGTAGAAGGAATTTTACACTGGCCGATTACGTAATAATAATTTACTTATTTATGCCACTTGCACGACCATACCAACTCACGCGCCTTTGGTGGGGGGTAACGGCCAATGCCAAGTCGCACGCCTTTGGTGGGAGTGAGGGGGAAATTTAATTTTGCGTTAAAAATGCTATAAAAATACAGCGTTAAAAATGCTATAAATACACTAAACGCCGACGTAAATTCTTCACTGTGTCATGTCCCCCCCACCCCGATGCGTGCAGTTACTAATGTTTACAGTCGCTAGATGCTAGCACTCTAGGCAGTAGACCTTTTATTTATTTATCACGCACGCACGACGATACCAAATCACGCGACTTTGGTGGGGTGGGGGGCATTTTCTTTCGTGTTAAAAATGCTATAAAAATACACTAAACGCTCAGGTAAATTCTTCACTGTGTGATGTCTCCCCAACCCCGATGCGTGCCGTTATTACTACTATTCAGTCGCTAGATGTAGCAGGTACCACCACAGTCGGTATGTAGTGCTGTAATCATATCAGGTACCACCACAGTCAGTATGCACTGCTGTAATCATAGCAGGTACCACCACAGTCAGTATGCACTGCTGTAATCATAGCAGGTCCCACTGCACGGGACTAGGCCTCACCATGCCACTCTGTCAGGTGAGTACTTTGTGCTATAGAGTCGATAAATACTGCGAGAGTCAGCATGTACTACTGTAGTGATAGCAGGTACCACCACAGTCGGTATGCACTGCTGTAATCATAGCAGGTACCATCACAGTATGCACTGCTGCAGTAAAAGCAGGTACCACCACAGTCAGTATGCATTGCTGTACTCATAGCAGGTACCACCACAGTATGCACTGCTGTCATCATAGCAGGTGCCACCACAGTCAGTACGCACTGCTGTTACATTTTTAGGAGTAGTTTTTAAATATTTTTAAGACCCGGCCAACGCCGGGTACTTCCTGCAGGTACAACAAACAATCTCAAACCATACATAAAACATTTGTACAGAAGCTGAAATGTGAACTTATTTTATAGAGGTTGTACATTCAAGACACAGCACATCCTGCTTTATGAGATTTATTTCGGACATAAAAGGGGAATTTTTGTGAAATGAAAGTTAAATTGGGGGTGAAGAAGTTGTGCAGTGCTTAGCATCCTGTGTCATGACTGCACTGACCAGCATGATAATATTAGGCAAAACAACTCTTACGACCGGCACGAGCAGGCCTTCTTCCAGCAGTGCACTAGGACAGTAATTGCCATACGTTCCAAACGTGGGATTTAAACCGTTGCGAAAAGAGAAGAGTCTGTTGCAGGCAGTGAAGGAGTCTCAATGAATTCCAGGGTGCAGGAGCTGATGCACGGGGAGCAGCGCGAGGCCGGCAGGATCCCTCGCACGGTGGAGTGTGAGCTCACGCACGACCTCGTCGACAGCTGCGTCCCCGGGGACGTCATCACCCTCACGGGCATCGTAAAGGTCGCCAGCAGCGACGAAGGCATGCCCCGAGTTCGTTAACCGTACCTGTCTGTTTTGTAAAGAGAAGCGAACGCTTTAGAGTGGCTGCTCTAGGATGCAAACTCCGATTCGTTGCATGCATGATGTGGAGAGGCTCTTGCATAAAGTGCTGGACATGTGTGTATATCTTCTTGGTTCTTTCGGTAAAGTCACATAGAAGGAAAATAATAAAATAATAAAAATTAAACATAATAAAATAATTCTCACGACGTCTCGGCCACAACGCAAGCAGCCGTCTTCAGGTGGAGAACAGGTCTGTCGAGACGACAAAGTCGTCTCGAAGACGGCTGCTTGCGTTGTGGCCGAAACGTCGTGAGAATTATTTTATTATGTTTTATTTTTATTATTTTATTATTTTTCTTCTACGTGACTTTACCGAAAGAACCAAGAAGATGAATCCCTGCAGTCATGAAAGCTTTAAATCGAAATGTGTGTATATGTACATATATACACGATCGAGACTGCCTTTAGAGCCTGCAATCTTTCGTCGGCTCTCTGACTTATGCCCATAGTAGATATGTGCACAGAGATGTGAATACTTGCACCATGGGTATAGATCCACAGTGATCGTCCTTTGGATTTGCCGCAACATAACTCTGCAGCTATCTACATCACTTTTTTATGCATGGTGGTAATACATATAAGCACTGTGCAGGCTCAACCATGTTTATCTTTCAATGTCTGATGAGATCAGGTGCATTGCAGGTGATTTGGTCATAGGCTTGTTTCAAATAAAGGGAGATGTTTCGACTATTTATTCAGTGGAAGTCCAGTTAATATATTCTGGCAATGTTTATTGGCCGTTGCGTCGAGATGTGAATCTGAGCTATCATGCTTTACACGTGCATTTTAAGACATGTTTGATCAAGCCACGATTTCTAATCCAATGTAAGATTAACCTTTGATATTTACACCGGGTGACCTCTACTGTTTTCCGTCTCTGCCTGCCCGTGTGGATGTCTTGTGTGCCACTCACTCAAGGACGCAACAAAAGCAACAAGGACAAGTGCATGTTCCTGCTGTACATCCAGGCGGTGGCGGTGAGCAACACCAAGGGGCAGCGTAGTGACGGGGGCGGGGAAGATACGGCACCTGGGGTGGCGCTGGATTTCTCTCTCAAGGAGCTGTATGCCGTGCAGGAGATCCAAGCGCAGCCCGACCTCTTTCGTCTCCTTGTGCAGTGAGTGCACAACAACGACAACAGCCGCCATTCGCCATTAAGTGGCGGTGATGTCACCACAGTGCTTGTGCCAGGCTAGATGCTACTTGTGCATGCAGTGAGTGCACACACAAATGTGCAGGAATGCTGTGGCTGGGTGGTGGCTCATAGACCAGTGCTGTGGCAACTGTGATTAAACCGGGTTCTCAAGTGTAGTGAGTCGATGCTTTCAAACCCGGTCACCATTGACTCATGTATAGAGACTCTGAGACTCAGATAGAGATCCGTTGACTTACATAGAGACTTATCGACTTGCATCGACGGAGTTGAGCACACCTGCCCCTCATGGGCTGTTGGGTGTGTTAATATCAAATGAGTTGATCGTGTGGCCCAGAACATGGAGGCAGTAATGTAATTTTACCATTACCACTCACAATAAATATAAACATATCATTACTATTCAAGTCATGATGTTTAAAAAAAATGTACATTGTAATTTCAACTACATGTTCGTGAAATACAGCAAATGTATTTGGAATATTAAGTTGATGGAAGAAAATGAACAGGGTTTTGTATTGTCCCTGAGATGGAAGAAAGTGATTATAATATAACAGTGCTCTTTATTATCCACTATGTTTTCATTCCATAAGTGGACATGTCTGGTTTGTTTTGCAGTTCTATTTGTCCGACCATTTACGGCCACGAGGTTCGTACAAAACATACATATACACCATGAACCATGGGTGCACGTGGATACATGTATATTAACTGAACCACTATGATTTTTAGTTTACAGTTATCAATTCCAAGGGTTGGTATACACTGTAACACGAATCATTTGGTTTACCGTTGCCTGCGCAAGTGAGTTCTGTCCTTGATGAAGACATTTTATTCTAGCAGTTTGTCTATTCAATTTTATTTTTCACATTACAGTCTTAAACGCCTTGTGCGCCTCATATAATTACGTGCGTTAGTGCTGCATCATGTCACCTCCGCGAACATGATTGAATTTCAGAATTTTAAATCGAGTGACAGCTCATTGATATACGGGTGGAGGGATTGGGTATGAGAAACCATCAAATAAAACGTGAGAACATTGTGGTCTAAAGGAACTCGGCTGATTCAACAATGTCAGCCTTCAAAAGTAAGTTTTATAAAATGCTAAATGAAGACTAAATCATAAGAGTGTCCGTGCATTCACTTGCGAGTCAGCAGTCGCAGATTCTCACGGAGGCTTCTGATCCGCAGGACAAAGTACGCGTTTTCATTGACCTTGCACTTCCTGTTGTACTCTGTGGGGTAGTGACATGGACACTTCATTCCTTTGTCACTAAATGTATTCATAGGATCTTGGGGTACCGATGAGATTGTTTTTCTTTTTACCAAAACTACTCTGATTAAAAAGTAAAATGATGCTTGTTATCTGTACAATACAGGAGTTTCAATGACACAATGTTGGCACCCTTCTATTTGGTTCATCTTGGTCACTAAGTTCTCTCTGCCAAGGGTAAGGCCACGATCTTTCTGGGTGCAGCTGATTAACAGCTTGCCGTGTGATAGGAATTCACTTGTCTGTTACTATATTTTGCCACTGGTAAAGGAGGTCTCATAGTGTAAATGCTTACCCCGAGCTCTCAATACCCTGATAGTGCGCTGTTTTCGAGTTGTACGCCTTTTGGCGTCATCTGGTCCAACACCAATGGAGACTAGGCTCTAAGAAAAAGCTGTCTCGGGTGTGGACCAATCAACTTCAAGGACAGTGCCTTTCATTATCAGAGTTGTTTCTTATTGTTTGCATTTTGACTGCTTGTGTTGTGGTTATTGCAAACATGATCCCTTGTATAAAGCTGTCAGATTTTGTACCAGTTGAAAGGGTAAAAACCTATTACTATATTTTGCCACTGGTAAAGGAGGTATCATAGTGTTGTCTGTTGTACTTGCATCGATTTGCAGATGGTAGTCGAGTAACAATCAATCGACTAAATGTATTATTATTATTATTATTCTTTGCGATGTGATCCTTTTTCTCGCTTTTGCTTTGCAATCCCACAGCTGGTAAAAGCCGGGCTGGCCCTGGCCCTTTTTGGCGGCGTCCAACGCTACGTGACGGACAAGAACCGCATCCCCGTGCGCGGAGACCCCCATGTGCTCATCGTGGGTGACCCAGGCCTCGGCAAGAGCCAAATGCTGCAGGTGCGGCGGCGGCGTTGACAGCAGGGTTATATTTGCGGAGCTTGTTTAAATGAAAATGCGCGAGGCCTTGCAAATATTAGCGTGCCTTCGCAAATTCCATCCAGTTGGATTTCGTGATACCGATGATACGACACCTGGTATTTTCCAGGCAGGCTTCTGTCCCAGGAATAAATCGTGTTCATATCCTGCTTGGTTTTCTGAAGTCTTAACAACCCTGGGTGTATTCATGGTGATGTTGTCGCATGCTTCTTAAATGATAATTTATAAGTAAAACGGCCGTCTTATAAGCACACAATAGCATGGTCTTGCTAACAGTGCCATGATGTATTTGACATTTGCACAGATTTGAAGCCATAGATGTTTGGACTTGGATCATTCTGCATCTACCCACTTCAACAAGGGGAAATCATTCATTTTACGTGTATTATGTAGCCTTCTTACTAAATCGTTGAGAATGTGCTCGATCTTGTAAGATCTAAGAATATAAGCAGATTTTGAGCCTGGATAGTGCTTGGATGGGGGGTGACCACCCTACATGCCGGTTTGGTTTTGGTCGCTGTGGGGCTACGTGATGCACTTCAGGGGGGCAGTACAGAAAAATCCATTCTGTATTTGTATCCTCTCACATCTGCTCCTCACCTTTGCCACCTCGCACTCACCAGCATGGTGACGTAAGATCAACCAACCGCCACGACCTGCATGGCCTTGGGGAGGCCCTCATCCAGCAGCAGATTGACGGAAAGAGTTGTACGCCCCACGTGCCGTTGGGTAACTACGGATTGGGTGTTGCGTTGTTGACGGTGCTTCGTTATAGGCGGTGTGCAACATAGCGCCGCGGGGCGTGTACGTGTGCGGCAACACCACCACCACGGCCGGACTCACCGTCACGCTTTCCAAGGACGGTCCCTCAGGGGACTACGCGCTGGAAGCTGGTGCCCTGGTCCTGGGAGATCAAGGTGATGGCCCCATTACAACAAACGTGCGCAACTTGCACCTCTTTCCACTGCATAACTGAGCCGCGCGGGGGACCACGCCGAGCCAGCCAGCTCGGCTTGGCTCGGCTCAGTTGGTGCCAGGTGGTTTTTCCACTACAAAAGCTGAGCTGGTGATGCTGGTGGTCGGCGCAGAATGAATAAGTCGGTAGCCACGCTCCTGGCTCTGCACATCACGGTTTGGTTCTGGCTTGCCTCTGAATCACAGTGAAAAACCACCCATTCCAAAAGAGCGCCGTGCTATCATGATTAGGATTTACCGGTGGAAAATGGGTGTCATTTACAGAGGCATCCCTGGTTTTCAAGCAGCAGTGCTCATGGCTAGGCTTAATCGTTTCATGAAATATCTTCATGCCCTCCACGTTTAGCAACATGCGTTTCTAATATTTAGATTATTTTGCTGCTATAAATGTCCAAATGGTAAGCCACTTTGTTGAGATATCCTTTGTGGCCAGGTCGCTTTTGAACAATAAGTACCTCGGTGGGCTTTGTCTGGTAGGATGGGGATTGTTTAGTTTTATTTGTGTGTGTTTTGGTGATTTGTTTACCTTTCTTGTACTTGCACTCCTGTCATGTTTTTGTATTGTTTGTTGTTGTAACGTTCTTACCTGCTCCGACTGGACATCTGTGAAAAAGACTTTTATAGCTCATCGGATCCATCCAGTATAAATACATTATTGATTCTGAAATCTCAACCTGACCACTGCAACTCTGTCCGCTGTGGCCCCTGTACAGTGTCTTGAGATCCTGTTGCTTTTAGATGCTATCTACAACCATATTGTCAATACCAGTGGTTCTCACCGGCGGGTACGTGGACCCCTGGGGGTGAGCGAGGTGGTTTGTACATTTGTGAAATTATATAATAGATCACGATTGGAACCTCCTTTGCCAGTAGCAAAATATGATAATTGTTTTTTTACCATTTTATCTGGCAACAAAACTGACACCTTTTTTACAAGGAGTCATGTTTGCATTGACCACAATACCTGCCATTGGTGAATTATCATGTATGAATCTGCCAATATAGATCCGTATGGTAACCTATAAAATACCTTTCTAAACTCATTGATCATAAACAAAGTGGTTTCGAAGAGTGACCAGCGAGTGCGAAGAAATGAGGTCACGCATGCAGAGTGTCCGTTGTTTTTATATTCGCTTGCGGTCACTAGCCAGTTAGGATACTTCACAAAATGAACAATTGGTTAAAATATTGATCTTCGTTCTTCTTACATTTATTTTATCAGAACCATGGTGGGTCAGGCAAGGGGGTACTCGTTTGAAACAAAATTCAACAGGGGAGTACAGTAGCCAAAACATGTTGAGAACCACGGCAATAGACATTGAAATGTCGTCGTTGAAATGCATCCATATCTCACAACACTGTAAAAAAAAAATCACATTCATAGCGATTCATGTTTCTAATTAGTGACGTTTTCCTGAAATCAGCAAAAAGTTTGGATTTGTACTCAAAACATCTCTCAGAACTCCAACTGGTATTTGTGCTGGGTTCATGACGCACGCAGGGGACTGCAAGGCGTTTGCTGTCCCCGTAAGAAGTTAGGAAACGACCCTCGTGTGTGCGTATGTTTGTTTTTCTTAGGCTTGTGCTGTATCGACGAGTTTGACAAAATGCCAAATCAACACCAGGCACTGCTGGAGGCGATGGAGCAACAGAGTATCAGCTTGGCCAAGGCTGGCGTGGTGTGTACGGGAAGTGGGCACGGGGTTTTAATTGGCAGTCGCGCACAGAGCTGGCTGAGTGGCTCAGGGGAACGCTTAGGCTCGTGTCAACACGACTGAGCCACCTCCCCTGGGCCCCGAGGTTTGTCGCCCAATATAAACCCAGATTCTCGTCTGTGCAGTGATTTTGACGGATGGTCTCAGCAGAGTCCGAAGTGTCCTCGCAAATAAATCCATCGTGTACAATTTCGATTTGTTTGCGTAGCAGAGCTCGCAGGGATAAATTCGTGTTTTTGGCAAATCGTTGCGTGTAAAACTTGAACTTTTTTTCTGTCATTGAGAGAAAAGGCATATCTTGATGTTTTGGATAGTTCTTCTGGAGGAATATCTTAATTATAAAGTGTATGTATGTGTGTATGTTGAACTTCTTTTGTGCCGTACATAGCCAACCGTGCTAATTGGAGGTGCACGTAATAACCCGCTCGCAACAAAACAACCACGTAAGTCAGGGGTGGGGAACATTTTTCTCACCGAGGGTCGAATAGGGCTTTCAAATCTCGTTGGCGAGGAGCCACGCGTTACAGCTCAGTCACTTCTCACAGCAAGAGTCCCCTGCGTTTACAGAAGTGACCGATTGCACTCGGAATTAAAAAAACACGTTGCCAAGTAAAAATTATTCCTCTCTAGCACTTGATTAGTGCAGCTAAGATGCTCGCAGTCACGGATTTAATATATTTTTGTAAGCCGTTTAGAAGTTTTAGGCCTCACGTGGTCGTATGACCTGCGGCCCATAGGTTCCGCATGCTTGGGACGATTGAACCCTTCCCTGCAGAGGTGAAAGTAAGCCGGTCTGGTTGATGTTTCTAAGACGGCCTGTGGTTCGATCTGTTGCAGCGGGTGTTTTCTCATGGCGAAACATGCTCAGTCTTGTGTCTTGATGTCTACGCTACATTTACGATATCTGTCTGGCCGTGCAGGTTTGCAGCCTTCCGGCACGAACGTCCATCGTGGCAGCTGCCAATCCTGTCTGTGGGCACTACAACAAGTCCAAGACTGTCTCCGAGAACCTAAAGTTTGTGCTTCACTTCTGAATTCACCGTACTCCATGACTGATTTTTCAATACTCATACATTTGCGGTGGTACGTGTTCGGCACGTACCACCACATATCATAATGTGCTCGCTACCGGATAAACGTAAGACTTCACGAGATGGAGAATTATTTTCCAAAATTAATAACAAATAATAACTTACAGCCCTTTGTCAAGGCTTTGCTAATGGAAACTATTTGATTATACTTCACCAGTCTGGTTCGTGTGGATTGGTGAATTTGATGGGGAGATAAACTGGTTTACTGTTCGCCGTGGCTGGGAATCAAACTCGGGTTGCCGGCTTCACATGGCGCTAACCACTGTGCCACCGCTCCTGCGCTCAAGGTGTAAACTAAACTAAAACTTTTGATTTTACCAGGTAAAGCCCAGTGAGCTATTAGCTCTTTTTCAGAAGTTGGCCACAAATGATAGCTCAACGAAGTGGGTTATCAAGTGGAAAGGAAGGTATAGTCATCAAATACATGTTTCTAAATGTGGAGGGAAAAACTGGAGGACCCTGAGAAAAATCCACGTGACCACGGGGAGAACATGCAAACTCCAAATACACAGTTGCCAGGGTCGGGACTGAACCCATGACCTCCTGCATACCAGACATCTCGGTGATTTTCATTAACATTGTGAGGTTTGTCATTCATAGGAATGTACATGTTACGCAATATGAGGATTTTATCAAGTGCCAGCATTATATGCTGTCCACTTTTGCCACGGGGTAGTGGGCAAAGAGCTTTTCGCATTTTGGAGCAATTACAGAGATGCACAACAGCTCAGTGAAATGTGACATCGATTGGATGAGCGCACCAAGGTTGATTGTCTGGAGATTACACACGCGCAAACAATCTCGCTCGCTTCCCAAAGTGCCGTGCAGCTCCGTGTGTGCGGTTTCAAAATCAATTCCTGATTTGACAGTGGTTGGATTTGAGTCTTTGAATGGGGTTACCCAGGAAAGTCTTAATGAATCCCAAGGCTTTTATCAGGGGATATTGGGTTTGCAGTTTTCTTTGGACAGTATCTTAATGAGTGCAGAGAACTGTGGCACATATTCTTGGTTCTTTCGGTAAAGTCACGTAGAAGGGAAATAATAAAATAATATAAAACAATAAAAATTCTCACGACGTTTTGACTGCAACACAAGCAGTCATCATCAGGTGATGATGATTGCTTGTGTTGCAATCGAAATGTCGTGAGAATTGTATTGTTTTATATTTTTATTATTTTATTGTTTCCCTTCTACGTGACTTTACTGAAATAACCAATAATAGGAATCCCTGCAGTCACGAAAGCTTTAAATCAAAATGTAACTGGCACAATTAGCTCACTGCACTGACCATTGCGCTACAGCTTTTAGTGAGCGATTAAATCACAACCAAACAATTATTGTATCCTGAGTTTTTGTCGGATCTGCAAGTTAGATCATGTCCTGTAGTTACAACATTCCATTTTGGAATCGGGGAATTTGGTGCATTGCTAATCCTCTTACTGCATTCGGCTCTCAAGTTATAAGCGTTTGACAGACACACCGATAAGCAGTCATCTTTCAATGAGTAAATAATGATTGTTAAATAAGCCAAACCTCCTACACATTTCACAAGTAGTACTAATCGCATATCTGCTTTTCCCATAAATATGCAAAAATTCCTCTTGATATGCAAATTCTTTTGTCAAGGCGCTCTTCCTCCTCCCTCCCAGCTTAAATATACGCTCCAAGCCTGGGTGTGTCATTCAGACTCTGTCGTCTCAACAGACCTGTTCTTCACCTGAGGACGGCTGCTTGCATTGTGGCCGAAACGTCGTGAGAATTATTTGATTATGTTTTATTATTTTATTATTTCCATTCTACGTGACTTTACCGAAAGAACCAAGAAGATGAATCCCTGCAGTCACGAAAGCTTTAAATCGAAATTTAAGCACGACAGTGATTGTTTACGGAACTGTGTCTGATCTCCCATTAAAAGCCACGCAGGATGAGAAGTGCCCTCCTGTCACACTTTGACCTCATCACATCATTTCATCCTTGGATTTGAAACAGAATGGCAGACCAACAAACAACTGATTAAATGAACAGTCGGCCGATGATGGTCGTTTACGATTAGTGAGTCCATTCACCTATTAACAGCTCACTTGGCCCTCCTCGCTTTCTGTTTTCTATCCTCCTACGCCCCCCAACCTCCTTCTTCCACCCGCTCCCTCAAATTTCTTTAAACAAAAATTTCACCTCACCTTCGCATATAAAAGTACACACACCCCTCTCGCGGTCCCCACTCAATGGGTAGGGTAACGAGCCCAATCTCCCCCCTTCTTTAAACTCACGTGCACAGCCTTTCGGTCTGACTAATGTCCGAGGAATTTCTGTACACCACTCCCCCCCTACCCCCACTCTTTTGTGGTTTGTGCTCCATATCGGGCTCCTACTGAAAAAAAATCAAACAGCTGACCCGGCCCTGCTGCGTCGCGTGTTGAACGCAGGATGGGCAGTGCCCTGCTGTCGCGCTTCGACCTCGTCTTCATCCTGGTGGACACTCCGGACGAGGAGCGCGACCACGTGCTCTCGGAGCACGTCATGGCCATGCACGCCGGCAAGCGGCTGCTGGCGGGGGCCTCCGTGAGCCGTGCGGCTGTCCCTGGGCTGGAGCTCGCCGCCTCCTCGTCGTCTGACGATGTCCTCGGTGACCTCTCTCTTTCCGATCGACTTAAGGTAACGACGGCTCAGAATAGAACCTCCCTTTTTGTCGAACCGTTGATGGATGACGGCCACCCCATGCCGTGTGGGTCGCGGAGGTTGTTTTACCTTTCTTTGGCATGCTGGTCGGTGCAGGTTTGGTGTAGGCGGGGAAGCGTAGATGTGGGCACATCGAAGCACTGTAGTCCTTAGGGTGCTGATTTGTGTCTGGAAGCTTTCGCCAACCCATGATCAATTTGGCCGGTTTTCAACAGGGCAAGTTCTTAATAGAAAGACAACTTTAAATTAAAATGTTGGTACTATTTACGAGAGTTATCATAACCACCCACCTCCAGACAGACGGACTGAGATATTGCATTTATGCTTTACCGTTCACGGTGTTGTTGTCCTAAGATTAGACTCGCCCATGCCATAGGGACGCGGTGTTTTCACCATTGGCTCAGGTTTGTAAATTGAAGATGAGCACCGCGCTCAATGCTAAATAGAGCAATAAATCACTTAGACTTTTTTATTTATATGAACTCTTTCCCATTCTGAGACATCTGCAAGATGGGTCCCGCTCACCACTGAATCTTGGAACGCGCGAGCGGTTGACGTTAATTTTATTCAGAGAGGTGTAGCGCTGCTGTGTTTAAAAACATCACCGCAGAGAACTGCAGCGACACGACCGCACTCTGCGATAGCTGGCTCCACACTGTGCCACATGCCCTCCCGCCGTAGCATTTTACTTCCGATTCCGTTCCGATGGCGTAAACCCACGTCATCGGAACGGATTTGGAAGAACAAACGATGACGTACACATACACGTCATCGGAATGGGAGAAGGTTAATTACGGGCGCTCGCCGCGTCGCCCTGCGCGCGTGCGCAGGCCCGGCGCGGCGAGGCGCTGGACCCCGTGCCCCACTCGCTGCTGCGCAAGTACGTTGGCTACGCGCGGCGCTACGTGCGCCCACGCCTCTCGGCAGAGGCGGCGCAGACACTGCAGGACTTCTACTTGGAACTGCGGCGGCAGCACCACGGGGGAGATGGCACGCCCATCACCACGCGCCAGCTCGAGTCGCTCATCCGTCTCACCGAGGTGACCCCACGTGCCTCCCTCCCACCGCCCGCCCCACCACCCTGCTTACAAACAATGTCCCAATAGATCGGGGGTCGGCAATCAAAATAGCAACGAGAGACATTTTTTTTTAATTCTGTAAAAAACTCAAGTTGTCAAGAGCCGCAGTGCATGTTAATAACGTCACGAAGCAGTCCTTAAAGAGCCGCATGCGGGTTCGGAGCTGCAGCTTGCTGACTCCTGCAATAGATAAACTAAAAACTAAGCTATTCAAATGTAATTTTACCAGGTAAGGCCCACTGAGCTATTTCGCTCTTTTTCAGAAGCGACCTGGCCACAAATGATTGCTCAACGAAGTGGCTCATCATGTGGAAATTTATAGCAGTCAAATACTCTAAACGCCTGTTTATAAAAGTAGAGGGAAAAACCGGAGGACCCGGAGAAAAATCTACGCGACCACGGGGAGATCATGCAAACTCCAAATATACAGGCGTCAGGTTCTGGATCGAACCCACGACCTCCTGTGTACCAGGCGAGGGAGTTAACATCGTGGTGAATTGCAATCGTAATGAGTGCTTAAAGTGGGGTGGTACGTGCTGGTATGCACCAAAGTCCAAATCTTAAATGACATTTGCAGTGGTGTAGTACTTATTTTATTTATCTCGGTGGGATGATGTGCCGAATTAATCCCCGACCATTAATTGAACTCGCAACCTTCTGATTGCAAATTGCTCAATCTGCTGCTGAGCCACCATATCAGCAAAAAGGAAAAAAAAATCACACCGTACGCACATAGGTTCATTTTAAATTTAGGAGAAACCAATCCCTGCCTTAATTACTCCAAAGGTTGATGCGTTGATGCGAAGGTTTAAGTTCCTCGCAACTCCTTTTAGACTCAAAGTTGTCGTCGACTTGCTTGGATAAATGCCAAAGCGCTTATCCTCCCTATGGAAAAAAAGAACCACTTGAATAATTACAGACTCAGTTATGCATTGCACTGTTACTCTCTTGGTCGTAAAACTGAGTAGTTCATCAACCCAATCAGCTGTACAGAGACGCTGGGTGTTGTATATGGGACACTTGGTCCTGGAAAGAAACCACTGTCCTGAAGTTCACCGAGTGTGTGACGACCAAACCGAGGTTGAACATTGCATTGAGTCACAAAACGCGAGATGCATCATCTGTTTTTGTGTTGAAGGTTCAAGTGTTGCAGCTTCATTCAGTGGTTTGTTTTTGGATGCTCTTTTTTTTGTACCCAAATACTGATTGCTGTATTCATTGGCGAAACCCTGTCAAAACCATTTCGGCATTATTCTTTGGTTCTTTCGGTTAAGTCACGTCTAAAGATAAAATAATAAATTAAATAATAGCATATTATTATTTTATCTTTAGACGTGACTTAACCGAAAGAACCAAAGAATAATTCCTGCAATCACGAAAGCTCCAAAATTAAGACATTTCGGTATTCTTTCATGAATTTTTTGAAGACAACGTGTTCACATTTTTTAAACGTACGTGCAGGTTGGTAATATTCTGAGCCATGAGAGTCTTGCGAGGCAAGCGTGCGCCGCGTTACACACGCTAAGCATGAGTGTCACATGTCACTCTTGCTGAAAACTAGAACTGCTTTTTGTATTTAGTTTGTTGTCCTTCCCCGGCACCTCCGATTAGCGCGGTTGGCTACGTATGTCGTGGAAGAAGTTCAACATACATACATCTGTCACATGCTACTTACTTTTTTCTTCTTTTCCCGTCCGAACTTTTGACTTCCAGGCGAGAGCCCGGCTGGAGTTGAGAGAGAAAGCCACCAAGGAGGATGCAGATGATGTGATAGACATCATGAAACACAGGTACCTGGGGACACACGTACACTCTTGTCATGACGCGTACACACGCTGTCATCATGTTCTTATGTGGAGAGTTGTAGGTAACACGTTCATAAGTTAATCGGACAGGAAACTCCATCTACGTAGAATTTTAAAGTCTCATCTGTACAGTTAAATGGCACGTAGGCCCATAAGCCGGTGAACTAAGAGATTATTTTATTTTCAGACGAGAGTCAGATTTTTTTTTTGAGAATAGAGATAATTTTATTGTTTTATTTGTATTACTTTATTGGTTTTTTCCCTTCTACGTGACTTTACCGAAAGAACCAAGAATAATAATAGTCAACTTTTGTTTGTTAATGTGTTACCCTTAATGTGTCCACTCACATCACATGTACTTGTGGCAGTCAGGACTTTAGAAAATTCAGAGCAATAACTGAAGTCCACCCTCCCCACGCAGCTCCTCCCCACCCTCCCCACCCAGCCCCTCCCCACTCTCCCCACCCAACCCCTACCCACCCTCTCCACCCAGCCCCACCCCTCCCATTTTTGGATGCACGACGGACAGACAGAATAATCCCCTGTGGGCTGGTGTAACCAGGAGGTTCCTACCAGTATATCCTGTTCTCAAAACTTAAATCCTTCTTCCAAAACACTGTGCCGTTGTAGTATCTGTCCTCTCCAATAGATGGCGATCAAGTTTATACGTATGAATACTATCACAATAAGGTAGAACTTGATATCGATGTGAATGAAAAACGTACACCGATTAGCTACACAACCATATTAAAATGCTGTGGTCATTAGTAACCATGCTGAAACCATCAACTCACAAGAACTTCAGAACCCACCTTCATCATAACTCTCATTTCGATTCAAACTCAGAGCTCAGACTCCCCGAGCCACCCGGCCGCCACACCGATTTTAAAATTGTTCTGCTTGCCGAAACCATTCACTCACTCGAGTTGAGGGCCCCGGCTCCATCGTAACCCCAACCTCATTTCAAACCCAGGCTCTCAGGGGTGCTGGCTTGGCGCCCTGACTTCTGAGCCACCCGGCCACGCCACTTGAATTCCTGATTGTTGTTGTGCTCGCTCATTCTCTCTCTTTGCACCGCAGCTTCTCCGACACGTTGTCCGATGAGCTGGGGACGCTGCACTTTGAGCGCACGCAGCACGGCTCCGGCATGAGCAACCGCTCGGCGGCCAAGCGCTTCGTGACGGCGCTCGCCCGCTGCTCGGAGCAGATCTGCAACACCATGTTCACGATGCAGCAGCTGCAGCAGCTAGCGCGCGACATTGGCCTGCAGGTGCGCGTTCTGTCTTCAGCCGGGCCGCAACTCTGGGCCGTTCTGTTGCACCGTCGATTGTAATGTTTGTTGCCAGCACCTTTTGGGTGTTTTGGTGCCTGTGCGTGGAAAATGCAATTAAAACAACAACAACAACAAAAATAAACAGGCAACATCCTCACTGTAAATGAAAAAAACTCAACAGTAGCGTGTAGGCCAAGAGGGTTTTTTTTTATTTGGCATGAGTTGGGAGGCTTGGCATTCATAAACTAGGGCAAGAGTAAGAGATTTAGGCTCTGTAAAGATGCCTTTACAGAGCCTTCTTTCCCACCGTACGTGGTCAACCGTGGTAATTGGAGGTGCGGGGGGACGGTCAACAAACGAAATACAAAAAGCAGTTCGAAAGAAATTAGTTTTTAATTGGATGATTTAAAAGTGCATAGCTTCAGTGGCTCCTACAATCGGAGAGGAAGAGCGTTCCAGACGGTCGCAGAAGTGCATCTGAAAGCGCACAATGCAGTGACCGTCTTTGTTTGATGGTTGTACATGGGTTACTACTATTACTTATGCAGGTGTCACAGGGGCACGCTACAGGTACGCACCGTTTGCGTGGTACGCTGTGGTGGTTGTAATAGGTAATCGCCACTAGTAGTTCTGTAAGCATTTTATTATAGTAATGAACGGGGTTGTGGGTGGCAGAGGGCAGCACAGCAAAATCCATGATTGTACTTTGCTTTCATGTCCGCATGTCTGTGCCCCACGCCTTTACTGATGCCCCGACCAGCATGGTGAAGTGTGGTCAAATAAACTCCACAAGGCCGTGGGGAGGACCTCATCCCTCAGTGGATTTCCCAAGGAATGCACCTCCGATTAGCACGGTTGGCTACGTACGGTGCATAAGAAGTTCGCCATGCATAATACATGTACAAACTGCTTGGTGTTTCTGTTTATCACTATGTCTTAGTGTTAAACCTCATACACTTAAGCTGACACTGTTAGTATTTGTTTGAAAGAGACTCATCTTTTTTTAATTGCTTTTACAAGATAAGCTCTCAAAGCCTGCAGGCAAAACGATCCTTTCCAGATTATATTAGCTCATGTGTTTACTCAACGTATTCCATTACACACAGAGCACTTGTCACGAAGTCCAAACTGCTTGCCGTTGATGATTAAGCCAAACCCCAGGTCATGATCATGCTTTAATCAAATGGGTGGCTGAGTCTTTATCACGAGCAAGAAAAAAGCCCTCACGGCAATAAAACCCCTGTTAGACACAGGGGGTCTCAGGCACACGGAGCTTCATGGTTTTTAACCTTAGTCTGAATGTGTCCACGTATGTTTTCATATGTGGTGCGTGTTTATATTTGCCACTTAGTGGTGAATGACAGACGTCGCTTTTGTGTGCGCGAGGATGTGTGCCTTTGCTTGGGAAAGTGGTAGCGTACTGTCAGTGCACTGCGCTACAAACCCAGCAACCCAAGTTCGATCACCGCTTATACGGTCAACATCGGTGACAAATATCCGAACTAATCTCGGGCCTCCACTAGGTTGACTCACTCTCTAAATGAGCACCTGGTGCGGTGTATATATATATCAGCACTGGGGTGTCAGCCACACAATCCCCTCACATGCCGTGCCAGCCTTAATATGTGCTCGCTTACAGCACTTGCCCCACCATTCTGTTAAAGGCTATATGGGGATCTTTGTTGAGTGTATGTCTATATGTGTTGTGGGGAGTTGCACCTAGCATGGCACAAGCTCCCGTGGTGAAGTCACCGCCTGAATGGTGGTTGTTGATGTTGGGGAGTTGGTACTGTCTTTCATTTACTAACCTGCAAACTGATGTTATGCATGGCCAAGGATAACTGACATTATCTCTATCAATTGATGTTTGCCACCGATGTTATCTCTGGCCAAACTAACATCAGCTATCCTCTGGCAAACATCAGGGACGAGTAATAGCTGAACCGAGGCCTCTCCCCTAGGTCAACCAATTCTTAAAATGATTCACTGTGCAAACACTGTAGATAACAAAGGTGGTGTTACACATACCACTTCCTCATGCCCCATGCTCTCTCCAACAGCAATTTCTCTTGGATGCTATGAGACTGACTAGGGGGTCTTTGTTTGCGTATGCACCTACCCCGAGATTAACTTTTAAATAGAAACAGTTTATTGCTCAGTCCTCGAGTCTGCCTCACCATCACACCCATGTGTGTCAACTGGCTTAATGAGTGCATATTACCGACTATTCACACGTGGATCAGAAATCGGAATATTATTTTTTACTGGAGAAATCCGACGAGCGATATATCTATTTCTCACAGATGTCCAGTCGGGTGCGGGTCAGAACATTACATTGTGTTGTGGCTGAAACGTCGTGAGAATTTAATTATATTATGTTTTTTTTTATTATTTCCCTTCTACGTGACTTTACCGAAAGAACCAAGAAGATTACAACAACAATACCAAAAACACGATAGGAATGCAGAGTATAGTACACAAATTACTTACAACAAATATATACAACTATCAACTATTTGACCAAGCAAATAGAACAAACGATGACAAGTGTGCAAATACACATGGAAAAGGGGGGGGGGGTGCTTGGAACACCTGGACAAGAGAACACACCCCAGCGAGAGACATCATCCTGATAACAAATTAATACAAAGTAGGCAAGGTGAGCCTAAAGTGCTGCCCGACTTTGTAGGTTTTGTGTTAAAGACGTAAAAAAATACAATCCTAATCATCAGTGAATCGAGTAATGTTGCCTCCTGTGGAGTGTAATGGTAAGGTAGATGGAAAGCGGATGGAATGTAACATGTGCATTGTATTCTTGGTTCTTTTCGTAAAGTCACGTAGAAGGGAAACAATAAAATAATAAAAATAGAAAGCAATAAAAAAAAATTCTTGCTGTGGTTTTCACACCTGATGATGATTGCTTGTGTTGCAATCGAAACGTCGTGAGAATTGTATTGTTTTATATTTTTATTATTTTATTGTTTCCCTTCTACGTGACTTTACTGAAAGAACCAAGAATATGAATCCCTGCAGTCACGAAAGCTTTAAATCAAAACATGTGCATTGTTTATAGGTGATTGTGAGTGGCTGAATCTAATTCTAACCAAGTGGTGGGGGGGTGGTGGGGTCACCGACTTATAAACAAAAAACGTCTTTCTCCAGAAGATCACCGTTTGATTATTTGAATGCCGTGCCTCCTGACCCGCTCTGCTCGCGTGTGTTGCTGCTGCTGCTGTTGTTGTTACAGGTGGCCGACTTTGAGGGCTTCATCAGCTCCTTGAACACACAGGGATTCCTGCTGCAAAAGGGATCTAAAGTGTATCAGCTACAGGCCATGTGAGACGGCCCTCCGAGAGTTGGTCAACTGAAATACGTTTCGAGCATCCGATCTGTCCTTGCATCAGAAGCATGCTGTGCATTATCAACAGCATTTGCTGCTGATGCGACTGCCGCTGCTGTGTTCTGACCCAGTTTATGACGATTCCCACATTGAAAGTTGTCATTTGCAGCAGGGGTTTCACTCATCTGGACTAGCGCTGTCACCCGTGCAAAGCTACCGCTCGCGCCCGCTTGGAAGCTTGCGAGCCCGTGCAGGAGACAGGGCAGTAAATCTCGATTGGAAACTCACATCTTTGGAACTGTTTTTTCTTTTTAGTTTGTTGTTCTTTACCCGCACGTCCGATTAGCACGGTTGGCTACGTACGGTGCGAAAGCAGTTCAACATACGTACACTCACAACATACATACACACACACAACATACACACAACACTGCTAACATGCCTCTTGTCTTTCTGTTTTATATTTGCTTCAAGTCCATAAATATGTAATTACGAATGTTCCTTATTTTTTGTTATTTCAACAACAACGCATTAAAATGCCACTCATCTGTTCGTGTTTTCTGCAAGTGCAGACTAAATGCCTAAGTTACGTTGTCATTTATAATAATTGCAATAAAGCTTTTAAGTACCTCTATATTTCGATTTAAAGCTTTCGTGACTGCAGGGATTCATCTTCTTGGTTCTTTCGGTAAAGTCACGTAGAAGGGAAATAAAATAATAAAATTTAAACATAATAAAATGCAATTCTCACGGTGAGAATTGCATTTTATTATGTTTTCTTTTCTATAGCTTCTGCAAATTCACAATCAATGTGCAATTCAGAATGGTATAATAATAATTATTACTAAAATTATCTGTTAAAAGTGCCAGTTTTCCATGAACGTTTCCTGTAAGCACGAAATTTTAACGAAATTGTAACTGAGAATGTTATTTATTATTCTTATTAGTTCAATAATAAGCCTTTAGAATTATTTTTCCCCTGCACAGTGCTTACTGCAAGTCTGAACTCACACGTATTTCACAATGTTATTTATTATTCCTATAAGAAGGCATTCAAGGGCCTCTCTTATATTCATGTTTGCTCAACTAACATGCAATTTTCAATCAATTTTAATAACTACCACCAATACCGTCATCACCACGACCACCGCCACCATCATCATCATCAACACCACAAATTGTTAATGAGCATCGATCTGCCTGCACTTCTTGGATTGTTTGGTAGACTCCAGCTACTCATGCGTTTCTATCTCATTTACAATCCTGTTTGTTATCCTAAGGCCTCCATGACACTGCCTTCTTGCCGCTTCTAGAATCCCATTCTACGAAATGAAATAAATTTGTGAAACGCATTCAACGTTGTTGCGCAATGCATCTATTGTTTAATCCCCTAAAGTTATGTTGTTGCACAGCTCAGTCGCTGTTATTTAATTAATTTGTCACTTTGACATATGTTCCAAGCGCTTCAGATTTTCACGAGTAAAGCTTTTGGTTTAGTTGTGCGCGAGTCGAAACACGAGTGCAGGATTAATTTCACCGCTGCATTGTTGTTCACAGTTGTGCTGTGTTTTCAAGTTGTGTTGCTATGTATTGGTTCTGGTTGTATTGTGAATAGCTTTCAGCTCTTAAGGTCCTGGAACCGATTAATTTCCTTCAAACGAAGCAGTTCCTTAATCTGATTCAGTTCTCTAAGAATATTCCAGCACGGAGCGAAGCATCGGTCGTCGTGCCGAGCAACAAGGCACGGCACGAGCCGAAAACCACATCGGAGTTTGACACCAACGCTTACGTGTGAAGGTTTCCACGCGCATCAGAAGGAAAGGCTCCGCTGTGGGCGGTGAAAGTTTTCTGGTGGGCCATCCCCACTTTTAATTTTGCAGAGGTGGCCAGTGGCAGTTGTTTTCTCAGAGACGGCGTTCTTTGCGATCTTGAACATGCGCTTACGTTAACAGCACTGGGAACAGCAAAAACCTGTAATTGAACCTCATGGCGGGACCCCGGGGTCCCGAATTAACGGAAGTCACAATCGTAATGAATTTATTTTTGACAACTCTGTCCCAACGCGCACATAAACACCGCGACCCACCTGACGCAGATCAATCATTCTGTTGTCATGTCCAAGCGTAGCAGCGAGGACGAATGCGCAGAAGAGCTGAACAAGCGAATGCACTCCATGCTCCAAAGCTGCTCAAATTGCCTACATGACTCAAGTCTTTTATTTGTCATCACGGAATGCATTAGACGGTGAAACTGCTCTCTTATCTTCATTATTATTTGTGACCTAGCAATGTCTGCAGCCACGATCAATCGATGACATTCCTATTACCTGTAGATATTTAACAGATGAGATGCGTTGCACCGTTAATCCCTCCTGTTTGATAATACTTCTCTTGTCCATATGCATCTGTGAAGATAGGTTTTTTTTGCGGTTAAGCTATATTCCCCACATACCGCTCGTATCAATGCGGACAAGAGCGGCGACCCACTCACTACTCTGTAGAGTAACATTGGTATTAACGTTTGTTACAACATGAACAGCGCATTGAAAACGCGTACTATTTTATGTACTATTTACAAAGTGTGCTCACAAATCCACACTGAGAAACACGATGATTGACGGGTGTGAATTATTTTTTCGATAGTGCATTTAAATAGAGGTACTGCAGGTAAGTAGTTTTCAGTTTTAAAGGCATAGTTTAACAAGACAACACTTGCCACCATCCTCCAAACCCATTGGTGAAAAAGAGCAAAGTTTTTGTTTACATTATAATATAATGTTTATGCGAGAGCCGGGGGTTAATGGAACCCCGGGGTCCCGCCATAAGGTTCAATTAGCAGGATCGCTTGAAACATTACAAAGTTGGGTATAAATCCTCCCCATGTGTCCTCTGTGCATAGCGGCCTACGCTATGTTGATGTAAAACAACGGCTAAAGCGCGTTAGGGAAGAATGTTGGAGCGAAAACGCTTCATGTGCACGCGTGCTTCTGTACTGGAAACGTTCAGTCGTCGTTCGGCCGTCTCCCTTTCTGGCTCTTTTCGCCGTCATTGACGACGGTGGCCGTACCGCTCAACCTTGCCCGGGACATTTCTCAAAGGTTCGCCCCAATAAATTGTAAAAAATAAAACACCCAGAAGCCTTTATCTGGCGTAAAATGGAATAAAACAACACCAAACAAACGAAACAAAAAACCCAGCACGGATCATTGCCCGTCGATGTATGTCGCTGCTTCTGTTAGGACCCGTCGCGAGCTGGAATTATAACCGTCGCTTTTCTCCGAGCTTAGACTACCTTGAAATTAAACCGTGTGGAAATACTACTAATAAAAAAAGCACACAACGCTCGTGTTCCTCTGGCAATTTCAAGTCCTCGTTTGGCACCATTGCCATGGAGAGGAGCGAGACGCTGGCTAGGAATGTGTACATGTGTGTGTGTGCAGGGGGATTTTTTTTTTTTTCAAATAAGTACCGGGACTTGCGAAATAAATCTCCCAGCGAGTGGCCCTCGCCGTGTCAGCGAATTGGTCCGCGAGCCAGGAGGAGGCACCGGGCCCCCATTGTGTTGCATTTCGGCATCGCGGAGTTTCCGCGGCGACTCGCACCACGAATTCGCCACCGACTGTGAAGCTCACTTTGCTGCTGCTGCTGCTATAGATTCACACGGCAAAGGCAAAGGTCCCCGCCACCGCCCGTATAGCCTACTCAGGGCTGTTAGGACAAGTGCTGTTTCGCGAGCACCTGTGAATGTTGGCGCACGACGGGGTGTGGGTGGCCAGCAACCACGCCCAGCCGCCTTTGTCTCGCCGGTGACGATGTTTTTACACACCGCACTCGGTACTCATTTGAGGCCGAGTCGACCTAGGAGAGGCCCAGGACGGTTTCAAATGATCGTTATTGGTGTTGGCCGTGAGCGGGAATCGAACCCGGGTCGTCGGGGATCGTAGCGGAACGCGCTAACCAATGTGCCACCGCTCCCCGCGTACATGCCGTATAGACGCGCATGCACAGCATGTGTACAAGGCAAAGGCGCAGCCCTGCTATTGCTTGCTCACGCCACTGCTGGCGGAAGAGCCTCCACAAGAGGGAGCTTTAGAGATGCTCCAGAGGGTATGTTGGCCTACTCTTCAATGTTGGGCAGATGTTTTAGAAGTGATGACGGTCCTCACACTTTACTCCACCGCACGCGATCTGCTGATTGACTAACTGGTGGAGCGATTTCGACTTCCGGATACACAGTCGGAGGGATTTAAGAAACTTGCATCGCGGTTTCAACTGCCTCACCTGGAGATCGTGTTGAGCCAACGGCCGCTGGATTGCGAGTCCGATGTGGTGACCATCACACCACCTTTACATAGCAATCACAACTCGGAGGTTTATGATTTATTTCTGTATGCAGTGTTACACTTTTGGTGAATTAATTCATAACCTAATTTTCAATGTCGTTAAGTTCCAATTAGTATTTGCTCTGTATAGATTCCTGCTGGCATGGTTGGTATAATTGGTGGTTAAGTAACCCCCCCCCCTTCCCCCACTAAAGTTGGATTTCTTTTCAGCGCTTCTTAAATTGCTGACGCTGGGAGATCAAATCGAACTGCCAACTCCTGGTTTTCAAGTACGGTGTGCAAACCATTAAATCAATAAGTTTCAAACAACTCAGGAATATCTATAAAATAAACGCGCACACACGACTTGTGCAAATACAAAAAAAAACAATTAGCATTTTCTATCTAAGCTAAGCATAGCTTCCACTCCTGCTGTGTTGAGGGTGAGCCAGTTCGTGGATTCGGCAGACTTCTAGGATCGGTTTAACACGACTGCTTTCGCGACCAATATTATTCACTAGCAGGAAGTACCCGGCTTCGCTCGGTGGAAAATATATTTCAAAACGTGTCTCTTAAAAAACATCTTATATATAAAAGTCTCCGCGCGCTCGCGCTTGCGCGGGATTTGGCTCTCGGACGGTGGCCTTTACGTCGAAAAAAAAATTGCCAGGCGGCACGCCCTAAGCCCCGCGGTGGGAATAGGCTATTCCGTTTTCCCATCCGTAAACGTTAAACTAGTTTAATTAACACATTTGCGCCGTTTCTATTATTCATTATTTACTTATTGCGCGCCGTCAACCATACCAACTCACGCCAGAGGTCGAAACCGGGTACCCGATACCCGTACCCTACCCGATACCCGGCTACCCGTACCCGGTCGGGTACGGGTACCCGTTTGCGACCCTGGTGCGGCCGGGTACGGGTAGGCCGTGAGTCACTGGTGAGGAACCGTTTGTCACTCATTTCCCAACATCTTGTCTCTTCTCACAATTCAAGTTCCTAGAATCAACCCACCCGCGCCTGCGACATGGCTTCATCCTAGAGGTCGCAATTAGGTACCCGATACCCGTACCCTACCCGTACCCGGTCGGGTACGGGTAGGGTACGGGTACGGCCGGGTACGGGTACCCGTTTGCGACCCTGGTGCGGCCGAGTACGGGTAAGGAATCAAAACCCGTTTGCGACCTCTGACTCGCGCCAATTGCGTGGGGGGCAGACCCTACCAAGTGCTGCGCGTTACCTCCAGCTCACGGGGGACATTTCCTTTTACGAGTTTTACAGTCAATACATACAAACATAACGCTGCCGATATTTATTCACAGTGTCATGTCCTCTTGCCCCCCCCCCCAACACGCTGCGTCCAGTTTATACTGCTGACTCCGTAGATCATATTTTAGTGCTTGTGCAGGACTCTTACTGACGCGACAACTTCTTTGTCTTTCTCATTCCTTTCATTTCGCATATAGTTCACATCTCCGACAGCATTGTTCAATGTTCCTCCATACTCTTCAATGTACAATTCTCCATCAGACCCACTCGATGTCCCTCCGTTCGCTCGCTCTGCTGCTTCGCTCGCTCTCTCTCTCTCCACCAAGGTCCGTTACTCCGCTGCTTCGCTACGCTGTACTCGCTCCGTCCTTGCTACTCTGTCCGTACTCTCTATATCCACTGCTACCGTATACTGTATTCTCCTTGTCCACTGCTACCTTATACTATACACTCTTATCCACTGTTACCCTATACTATACACTCTTGTCCACTGCTACCTTATACTATACACTCTTGTCCACTGCTACCCTATACTATACACTCTTGTCCCAGGCACCAACTCCAACGCTAACTCCAACTACGACTCCAACACTAACAATGACTCCCGTATCTCCATACGCTCACTGCCTTTATCCCCGAACCAATCAGCCCCAATTAATTATGTCATCCCCCCCTTCGCTACTCGCCCGCAGATCCCCAGCCTCACGTGATCTTGTTATTGTAGCCACCCCGGCGCCAGTCATCAACCACTCACCCTCTCGACCAATCACCGGTCTGCGTCCTCAGTTACCCTTAACACCTGTGGCGTCTCTTAATGACCTCACCCCTTAATTGGCGCAACAACAACTGTATATCCTCAGTTGCCCCCACTGTCCGCTACACGCTCGCATCGCATGCCTCCATGTTAGTCATTGTAACTCCATTTCTTTGCGTGTCTGTAGGTCCATGTGTGCGTCTTAGTCCATGCTTGTGTTTTATTGACCTGCTCAAGGCTTATGATACCATCAGTAGGCCTGCCCTCTGGGTTGTTCTTCGTGCTTTCCGACTCCCTGACCCACTGCTCACTATGCTTAAGGACCTTCATGATGGTGAGCGGCACTACGTCAAACTATGTGGCCGTGAGTCAGAGCCATTTCCTGTACACCTTGGGGTGCAACAGGGATGTCCTCTGGTTCCCACATTATTTTACATATATTTCGACCACGTAGTTCGTGAAGCCTTCAATGCCTGTACCGGAAGAATTCCCATCTCGTATAGTTACAATGGGAGGCTGATCGATGTCCGGGTGTGGTCAAGGGATGGCTCCCTATTGCTCAACCACGTTATGTATGCTGATGATCTGCTAATTGCTGCTCACTCGGAGGAGGAGTCCGAGGTGCTGCTGCTGAACCTGGAGCTTGCCACTAAGAGGTGGGACCTTACCATCAGCCCCACCAAAACTAAGCACCTGCCTGCCTATTTTGTACCATCGGACACTCCACCCCCACAACTCCAAATTGGTGATGGGGAAGTTGTGGAGACAGTGCAGAGTTTCCCATACCTGGGCAGTGTGCTAATGACCGGCTCCGGTTTAACAGCAGAGGTCTCACTCCGAATCAGTCGAGCCGCATTATCTTTTCATCGGTTGCGTAACGCTGTGTGGAAGCTACCTGGTCTATCACTCCGCAGGAAGCGTCAGGTCTTCTCGGCCACGGTCATTCCCTCCCTTCTCTACGCTTGCGAAACTTGGACCCCCCTCATGGAACATCTTCGCCGGTTAGAAACATTTAGGATGGCCTGCCTACGATCCATCCTGGGTTTAACCAGGCTGCATTGTGTGAGCTCACAAATCCTTGAAAGATGTGGACAAATTCCCATCGGTGACCTCCGGCAGGCAAGCCTGCGTTGCCTGAGTCATGTAGCCCGCATGGTCACCCACCGCATGCCTGAACAGCTTTTGTTCGGCCGGATCGAGGGGGCTAAACGGGCGCGGCACAGGCTGGAGAAGACATGGAGTAATGTGGTACAGGAGGACTTGGAGCTGAGTCCACTTGCGGATGACTGGTAGCAGCCGTGTCACGATCGGCCTCTGTGGAGGAGGCTCCTGAAGGATGCTACTGGGCAGTTGGAGGCAGTCACCCTCCAACAACAACGGAGGGCGGAGGAGTAACGCTCACAACAACGAGCGGAGTGCCGGGGTGGCTAAAGCACAGAAGGTTGCCACAGTAGGGGCCACAGGTGGTGCATCAGCCAGTCGTCTCAGTCAGTCGACCTGTGCCATCTGGGTTTGCCCCGTGACCTCCTGCCAGCGGGCGTTCGACACTTCACGTGGCCTCAAGGTGCACATAGCCTGACACAAGCGTTGTCCGTGACGTCACCGCCACTTAGTGGCGAATGGCGGTTTTTGTTCAGTCTATGTATGTATGTGTGAGTCGATTTGTGTGTGTAACTCTATGTGTGTGTGTGAGTCCATTTGCGTGTGTAACTACATGTGTGTCTGCCTTTTTCGCCCGGGCAACGCCGGGTACTAACCGCTAGTAACATATATGTACACAAATACTAAGCTGTTTTAAAAAGCCCAGCGTTCCGTTTGTCCATTTGTCCGCCAGCCAAATTATGAGAGCCTCACAGAAGGCCTGAATCAAAAAGTTATAGAAAGTGGGAGGTAATGGAGTAAATCCACAGCATGTAGAATTTGCTGAAGTTGTAAACTAATCGGCGAGTTTTGTTTACGTGTCAAACATTACCGGCTGTGTCGGGTGGTGGAGGGGTTACGACACATACGCGATTTAACCCAAAATCATTTATTATGGAAACTTCTAGGATGTTGCTTGCAAGGTTTGCTCCATCCCACAGTCACATAGGGGGCTTGTTCTTATGCCCCATTGGTGGAGGTTGGCGAGGCATGGGGCGCGTGACCAGTCCTGAACCTATTTCGATTTACAGCTTTCGTGACTGCAGGGATTCATCTTCTTGGTTCTTTCGGTAAAGTCACGTAGAATGGAAATAATAAAATAATAAAAATAAAACATAATAAAATAATTCTCAGCAGCCGTCCTCAGGTGGAGAACAGGTCTGTCGACAGACCTGTTCTCCACCTGAGGACGGCTGCTTGCGTTGTGGCCGAAACGTCGTGAAAATTAGTTTATTATGTTTTATTTTTATTATCTTATTATTTCCACTCTACGTGACTTTACCGAAAGAACCAAGAAGATGAGTCCTGAACCTGTTGAGGGTGGACCACTCCTTGCTGGGGAGGTTGGAACCAGGGGGGGGCGGTTGTGTGGGGGTAGTAATGAGGTTCTTATTTGGCAGGTCCAGTGACTCCGATTATTGTGTCCAGGTGAGATTTGTGTTGAGGTCGTGAGTGGGCAGGGTCTTTCCAAGCATCTGCTGAAGGAAGTCTAATGTGGCCGTCTTTGTCCATTGGTCACCATCAAATATTAGTTTGAACAAATCTGACCAACTGACAGCAGCAGCAGTGATGCAGTGTGATGGACAGCTGTGGACCGTTTGCGTCCTCATTTAATTGCTGTTACTTCCATTTTTTGCCACCGAGCTCATCCGCGGGTCATTCCCTGTAAATCTGCTTCAGGCTGAATGTTTTTTTTATTTGCCCGCATCAATAAATACAGTCAGCACAGGATAGCCACCAATATTCACGGTGGCAAAGTCTGCCGCTGGAAACCATACATTGTTGAGTACCCACTGCCACACTATGAGGCCCATTAGCTGGGCCAACGCCAACAATAACCAGAATATGTATACTGCAGGAGGAATCCGATCTCTTCCAGTGCTGCTGCGGGATCCACTTTCTGGCTCTTCTCCTCCCCCCCCCCCACTTCTCTCTCCCCCCCTACTGCTGAGGCCTACTATACACTACACTATACACTACACTATACACTACACACTACACTATACACTATACACTACACTATACACTACACTATACACTATACACTACACACTACACTACACACTACACTATACACTACACTGTACACTACACTATACACTACACTATACACTACACTATACACTACACTACACACTATACTATACACTACACTATACACTACTATATACACTACACTATACACTACACTATACACTACACTATACACTACACTATACACTATACACTACACTATACACTACACTATACACTACACTACACACTACACTACACACTACACTATACACTACACACTACACTACACACTACACTATACACTACACACTACACTATACACTACACTATACACTACACTATACACTACACTACACACTACACTATACACTACACTGTACACTACACTATACACTACACTATACACTACACTATACACTACACTACACACTACACTATACACTACACTATACACTACACTATACACTATACACTACACTATACACTACACTACACACTACACTATACACTACACTACACTATACACTACACTATACACTACTATATAACCTCGTGCCACGGCAGATCTCTCGCCTACTTCTGCAGTTGTTTCTTGCCGTGGTTGTCCCACCTGATGACGTTTGCTTGTGTTGCGATCGAAACGTCGTGATCTATTTTATTTCTACCTACGTGACTTTACCGAAAGAACCAAAGAGAATGGATTCCTGCGGTCACGAAAGCTTCAAATCTAGATTGCGCTTTAAAGCTCTTTTTTCACAGATGCCCAGTTGGGGGCCGGTCAGAATGTAACAACAACAAGCACTACGCAAACACGATCAGAGTACAAAGTATCGGAACGGCCATGAGATCTGTGATCCATCAGAACACTCGTCATAACAGAATACTAGGCCAGGCTGGAACATTGTGTGTTTGAAACAACACACAGAGACACGCGTGAAACACACGGTGTTCTGGCCCTCACCCTTATTCTGTCTGTAACGATGGGGTTCCTCGTCATTTAGAGATATGATTGTCAGGGCAATGCAGAAATATCCATTGTTGTATGCTTTATATTTAACAGGTGACGTTTTTGGAAATCACTCCACCTCACAAATTATCATGTGTTTATGAAACTAAACAACTTATTTTATTTTACCAGGAAAGGCTGACTGAGCGAAACGGCTCTTTTTCAGAAGCGACCTGGTCACAATTGATAGCTCAACGAAGTGGCTTATGTGGAAATGGAAAGCAGCCAAATACTCTAAACCACGTGATTCTAAATGTGGAGGGGAAAACTCAGAGGACCCGGAGAAAAATCCACACGACCATGGGGAGAACATGCAAACTCCAAACATACAATAGGCGTCAGGATCGAGATCGAACCCACGACCTCCTGCATACCAGGCAAGGTAGTTAACATGTCGCCACCGTTGATCCCCATTAATCCCGACAACATTTAGTTTAAATTTCGATTTAAAGCATTCGTGACTGCAGGGATTCATCTTCTTGGTTTTTTTTGGTAAAGTCACGTAGAAGGGAAGTAATAAAATAATAAAAATAAAACATAATAAAATAATTCTCACGACGTTTCGGCTACAACGCAAGCAGCCGTCTTCAGGTGAAGAATGAGACACTGCCAAGCTAGGAGCTTACTTTTAGTTTGCAGTTAAGAGGATTCCTGGAATCACATTATTGAGATTTAGCTGAAATGCCCGAGGTATAAAAGGACGCAAACCCTAATTATACAATGACCGTTGTAATGAGCACAAACGCTCGCTCGCTCATTCTCGAGTCGTAGCTGCACAGGAGGTAAATTCGCGTGGCGTGGGCTTTGACAGCACGTACTGAAATGATCCAAGATCAAGTAACTTTACTGATCCAAGACCATCAAGTAAGGTGTCTGGGTCACACAGCGGGTTACATCATGGCCGCGGTCATAGACGCTGAAGTAGCGAGCGCTGTTGAGATCCTGAAAAAAAAAATCCACATCAAATCAAAGTTGAGCTTTTCACCGAGTTTGGCTTAATCCAGCACTGGGAATTAAAAAAAAAACCTCCATTTGATTGACACGCTACAAAAAACTTTTCAGGACGCATAAAAGATCTGTTCAAGTGTGGCTAAAGCGGTCTATTCAAGTGACTTCACAAGTTGCTGCTCAGTGACATCATCGTCTGAGGTCGCTCTCGAACACAGGGTAGTGCACTGCTTGCTGTGAGCGTTCAAGTTGCTCCGTCGTTACGGCACGACTCCAGTCGCACGGAGGGAACGTGAACGTTGATTTTTTTTTTATTGTAGAACAAAAAACAGTCACAGTCGTGGGGGGCGGTGGGGGGGGGGGAGTCTCTGCAAGTAAACAAACAATCTTTAAAATACATATTTTTTATATTTTTCCCAACCCAAACTTCTTCTGATTTCTCTATCGACATTGAATCACAAGGAGAATAATCTCTTACGATTTAGGGTTACACCTCCGTGTTAGGGAACGGTTCACGGGGCTACCGTTGAGATCTCTTCGGGTGACCTTTGCTGCTCTACACATCACAGGGGTTGCATTTTTTAAACCGCCCTACCACAGCGAGTCACGCTGGTCTCCGCATGAGGCTCCAGCTGATCATTTTAAATCTCAAGAATTGGAAGTTAGCCAATTAAAGGCAGGACCAAAGTTCATGCGATTTTGTGTTGTGTGTGTGTGCGTGCGTGCAGCCATTTGTGACCGTGCTTAGCCCATCAACTCTCTACACCTCCGATTAGCACGGTTGGTTACGTACTGTGTGAAATAAGTTTAACATTATTGGAACCTCATTTGCCAGTAAAAATATGATAATTGGTTTTTTACCCTTCTATCTGGCAGCAAAACTGAAAGCTGTCTCGGGTGTGGACCAATCAACTTCAAGGACAGTGCACATTATCAGAGTTATGTTTTTTGTTTGCATTATGACTGTAGGTATTGTGGTCTATGTAAACATGACTCCTTGTAAAAAAAGGTGTCAGTTTTGTTGTCAGATAGAAGGGTAAAAAAACAATTATCAAGTTTAACATTCACACATGCAACCCGGTTTTATTCGCAGACAATGGCCGAAACCTGGGTTCGAACCCAGAATCTCGGCTACGGCCATTGCGCCAATAAACCACCTCTAAAATTGCGTTTTCTTACAAAAAAATAAAACCACGGAGTACTTTGAGAAACATAAATCTTGACATTTCTCAAAATGGGCTCCTCAACCCCACACCGCGTAACGTGAATGGAGGCGGCCTCCTCACTCAGCAGGCAGCTCACGGCCGCGCAGAAATCTGGCGAACGGGAGGTGATTAGCCATCCCCTAGGCGACCAGACTAGCCCTCCGGTATCTGGGGACAAGAGAGAAAGAGGGGTGAGAGGAGAAAAACAAATTCCACCGGGGGTGGCTGCCCGCGGGGGCACGGGGGATGTGGTTTGGGGCCCAGGACGTGAGCAATTGGGTGCGCTGGTGGTGATGGTGGTGGGAGGAGGAGGGTGTTTCGTGGATAGTTATTCCATTCCCACGACCCCCGTCGGCATGGGCCAATAAAAGGCGAAGTTGCGCGCAGCTCGCGAGCCGCGGGGTTCTTCGCTTCTCCGTTGGCTGGTCTCCGGCGCTGCCGCCGATGAGGGTGCTGGGATGTTGAGAGAGGCCGCGGTGACTGTTTAGCGAGCGAGCGAGCGAGTGAGCGAGCGGGAGCGTTCCGTTACATCCACGTCGCGTGTGTGCTTCATGTCGGCCCTCTGGGTGCGTGCTACTCACACCTGAAGGTAACCGGCCACGCTTTGTTTAACGATCGAAATGTGCAACAACAACAACAAGAAACCCCAGACGGCACGCGTCAATAGAGCACTGTCCGAAAGTTAGCGTGTGTACGTGTCACGGACGACGTTTCGGGCGATGGCCCTTCTTTGTTGTCGAGGAAGAAAACGCGTTTTGATAATATTGTGCTGGCGGTTGTGGCGTTGCGTAAACGCGGATAACAACGACTCGACGCAATTCGTCCATAACGCTGCCCTGAATATATGTATAATAGGCGACGTTTCGGGTGATGGACCTTGTTCGTGGCAGAGAGGTCAGAGCGAACGAAGGCGTCGAGTTGTTTTGTTATTTGCGCCACCACCACGACCACCATCTCCACCACCACGCAGGGCTTTGCTTTGCGCGTTCAATCAAACGCCGACTCCCGTTCCGTGCCTCCCACGTACAGGCCAAATCGCTGCTTGTATCTCTGTACGTTCACTCCACGGGCCGAGCAGCCTCCGGTGCTTTGCGCGCGTTCGCCAGCCAGCAGCGTGATCGGTCGTTTGGTCGTTTATTTGTTCGTTTGTTGAAGCGAGCGCACTCGGCACGGGGCGCCCACTCTCTGTTCCTCTGTCCCGTGAGCGACGCGCTGCAAAGATTGATCGTAGCATCACCACCATAGCGCTCGCAAATACCATCGATACAAACTCGACGAGACTCAATTACGTTCGGATGACAGCTTTAAACGAGTTTAAACTAAAAGCTCAACTTTTTATTTTTTTACCAGGTAAGGCTCGCTGAGCCGTGTAGCTCGTTTTCAGAAGCGACCTGGCCGATCGCAAGTGATAGCTCAGCCGCGTGGCTTATCATCACGTGGCAATTTATAGCAGCCAAATACACAAAACCACGTGTTTCTAAATGTGGAGGGAAAACCTGGAGGACCCGGAGAAAAATCCACGCGACCACGGGGAGAGCATGCAAACTCCACATATCGAGGCGCTATTCGACCATACTTCACCACGCTGCTCAGCGCGGGTTGGTGAAGGCGGAAGAGCATAGACGTAGGAGCAAAGAAGCACAGTACAACACTTAGCGTTGCTCGACTGTCGTTGCGTGTGGTAGGGTGAACTGTGGGTACTCCCACGTCGTGGAAGAGTAGGCCAAATACACTTTAGAGGAGCGCTCCAGAGCTCCCTCTAGTGGAGACCCTTCCGCCAGCAGTGGCGTGAGCGAGCAGTTGCAGGGCTGCGCCTTTATCAACACCGTCACATCGGCAGTTTGCTCCTGCAACAAGCAAACCAACATTTGTTAAATACAAATATGCATTTAAATATGATTCGCCAAACATCAAAAATATAATCGAGACTTAATGAGATATACAAATGACAGCACATCCGTTTTTTAATACAATTACGTGGTTAATGCATTGCAGGGAACTCGCAGCGCCACACGTATTTGTCAGTGTCAACGATGTTCAACTTCAACTGTTGTCGCGCTTAGCCAAGCCTCCGAGGCGAATTAACATCTGAATGGGGGTGCGCTTCGTTCGCCTGAGAGCAGTTTACGAAGTTAAAAAGCAATAAGCAGACAATTACGGTCCGTCTCGCCACGTATAACATCAAATAAAGTTACATTCATACCCGTCAAGCTCGTCCCATCGGCCCACCAAACCAATGTTTTCCATTTGGCATCTCTTGAAAGTAGGCAGAGTTTAAGGGCCGGTTTCAACCTTCAGAGGCCTCATCAGCATCGACAGACCAGAACAATGTTATCCAGCATCGTCAGTTAGAAGCAAGCAAATAAATTATACACCATGACAAGCAGGCCCGAACGAATCATATAAAAACGAGTTCACAGACGACATGAAGTCGTCGTTGCTGTGGTTATATAATCAGGTGAAGTGGCTAATTTATTCATTCCGTTACCCAGTTGCACGCTGGCCATCAATAGAAGCAATGCAGAAAAATCCATGTTTGTAATGTACTTCTACGCTCCAACATCTATCTGTGCTCCCCGCCTTCATAAACCCCCACTGACCCAACGTGGCGAGGTATGGTCACACACTTTGGCCCGCTCTTCCACGCCGGCTAGACTTTCTTGGGAAGCGGTAGGTAGTGAGTAGCCACACTCTACTCCCATCATTTCGAGTCACCTCCGATGCACGCAGCAGAGAGCGGCACTCCACGGCCCCTCCTACCGCTGAGAGGAAATTTTCGTCACGTGACAAACAAATCCAATAAATGCAGCGCTCCCTCGTTATTCGCGAGGGATACGTTCCGGAGGGCGGTCGTGAATATCAAATTTCTCGGAGAATGGTATTGGCCTACGAAGTATCATTATCGTAATGAATTACGTTAAGTAATATGTAAATAAGCTATTAAATACGTGGAAATTATCATGATATTTTTTTTAAATATTAAACGTAAAGAAAATAATAATCATATTAAATTATTAAATAAGTTTGTAAGTTCATTACCTTCATCTCATCACTTTCTCTCTCTCTCGATGCAGTCGTATAGAGTTCCAGATACGATTCGTGGATACCCAAAATCGCGGATGGCAAGTTCGTGAATAACGAGGGAATACTGTTTTGGAAAATATCTTTCATTAATGGTCACTGATGGAATTTAGGCATATTAAGTACGAACCGAAATTTCACCAGATGGCTCTCTCGTGCAGTCACTGGTCACCTGCCTTTAGACCATCAGCTCGCTGGAGTCCACGCGCCCAGACCTGATTCTTCACGTGTCAATTCCATTTGAGCATGACAACGGTCGTGCATTATGCAGGAATCATTTGAATCGAGTGGGTTATCAGGTAGTTCAACTTTAATTGGCCATACAAATAATACGGCACAACTAAAGTTTTTATTTTTTTAAACCAATTTCTGCTCCGGCTCATGAACGACGACGCTTGGGAACCAGGCTTAGTAGTAATCACAGGCAACAGCTGCCTGGACTCCAACCCAGGTTCCTCTCAGTGGCCTGACCTCTGAGCCACCCGGGCCGGCCACCTACGGAACGACAACACGTGTTATGGAGGCGCTTCCCCTTTCTTCTCGTGCCCTCCTTGCATCGCGACGGACAGACGCTTCATCACTCGCCATCAACGAAGGGGACAGGGGGGCGGTGGTAGCCTGATGGATTGTGTGTCCCCCCCCTTCTCACCCCACCCCCTCCATCCTTCCTGAAGACAGCCAGAAGTTTTACGACCTGTTGGCGCTGAGCTGTCTGTTAATTGTCTCTCGTTGATTGATCCCGCGATCCCTCCCTTGCGCGCGCCTTCACCTCCAAGCTGTTTACGAGACGGTGCACAGGTCGTCCAAATGTCTGTTACGTCGTAAACGCATCCCCATCGCGGGTTTCATTCGAAACGAGGTTTTAACAGCCCAACAATGTATTTACACCCCCTTTGCCAAAGTAACCGTTGGCACGAAGGCCGCCTCCATACTGTGTCACTCTTCGGAGTTATTGGACCAGACTTCACCGCGCTCGTCAGGGAGGGAGTGTGAAGTGATTGAGCTCAGGACCGGTTCGGATAGCGCTCGCCACCGATGTTAGCCGTGACAAGAAATTTAAATTTCGATTTAAAGCTTTCGTGACTGCAGGGATTCATCTTCTTGGTTCTTTCGGTAAAGTCACGTGATATGCAAATTCTTTTGTCAAGGCGCCCCCCTTTCCCCCCCCCTTCCAACCCAGCTTATATATATATGCTCCAAGCACGTGTGCTGTTTCATTCAGACGCTGTCGCCTCGACAGACTTGGTTTCACCTGAGGACGGCTGCTTGCGTTGTGGCCGAAACGTCGTGAGAATTATTTTATTATGTTTTATTTTTATTATTTTATTACTTCCCTTCTACGTGACTTTACCGAAAGAACCAAGAAGAAATTTAACTTACGGGGCTCGTAACCTCCCGAGAACCGGAGGACACCTTGACCCTGCGGCCACTAGAAGCCGCTGCGTTCATCACAATTTTAAATCCAAAACAAATGCTACTTTATTCGAATCCCAATCTTTGCTAAAAGTCACACCCCCTCATTAAACAAAACTTCCCTTAGGCACCCTTCTTAGCCAGCAGAGCCCGCTCACAATCACCGCAATGCAAGCACAAAAAGCAAGCCCCGAAGAATCGACCTTGCATCGTGACCCTGAGTCGCTCCTGACAAAGACGCTGGAGGCTTTGGAATTTCTTTTGATTGTTGCCCGGCCGCGGCCATGGTGGTGGCGGTGGCTGCTTTGCACCTTCTCGCGTGGGATCACGAGGACCTTGGCCACTGCACGGACACGCAGAGAAGCAGCAGCAGCCTCGCTCGATCGCTCGCTCTCTTTCTCTGCAGCAGAAGGAGGGTTGTCTGCTGTATAGCCAACAATAGCAGCACATAATAGAGAGCTTTTTTTTAGATCGCGTAAATATATACATATATTTTCTAGTAATATATTTTCTATACCATTTCTAAATATAATTGAAATAAAATATCAATGTTTACATAACTATTTCTATAGTTACGCGATCTAACCCAAGACAACCTCTATTCTGGATAATATTCATCTTCTTGGTTCTTTCGGTAAAGTCACGTAGATAGAGAACAAGAATCAAAATTAAAAGCAAAAAACCCACGACGTTTCTTTCCCCTCCACCTGAAGAAGACCGCTTGTGTTGCGATCGAAACGTCGTGGGGGATTTTTGCTTTTAATTTCGACCTTTGTTTTCTATGTACGTGACTTTACCGAAAAATAACCAATAATTCCACATGTTTTGGCTTTGCCGTTGGCCCGTCGGCCTGCGGCCTTTCCAGACCAACACGACCACCTGGAAGAAGATGTTAATAAATTCCTTTTATTACTTCCCTTCTACGTGACTTTACCGATAGAACCAAGAAGATGAATCCCTGCAGTCACGAAAGCTTTAAATCGAAATTGAACTGGATAATATTGTTCGCGAAAGCCTGCGTGTTACACAGCAGCACACGCACCTGTATGGCCTTAACCGACTTTTGGGGCAAGCGCTGTTAAGAGAGCACCTACGAGAATTCGCTACAACGAGAAACGTCCTTGATTGTACGCGCCGTATATGAATTTAAATATATTTGTGGGGCAGAGGTCACTTGAACGGAATTTCGGAGGTAGCTCAGTGATATCCACTTTCTGTGGGTTGTGACTTTTCGTTTGTGTTGTGCGCGGTGCATTTAGCGCCACAGCGCGTGGATTTATGTTCATTTGGTTGCTGGTGACTTTGTGTGTTTCGTATCGGAATCGCCTCCAGTGCTGTTGCTGCTGGCGGCAATACAAGTTGTTTAAAAGTCAAAGTCTGTTGGTTGTACTGCACTGCCAGAGCTCCGCACGGAATTTCTCGGCCGGGTCATCAAATAGCGAGAGAGAAAAACAGAAAAAGCAAAAATAATTTGTGTGATCGCAACGGTTAGCACGCGGAATCACTCAACACAATCATTACTCATTAGAATTTGGATATCACTGGGGGATTCGTTTGATTCATTTTTTAACGCAATGAACATTTGTCTCCTGACAGGTTTCGTGTGCCATGCCTCCTGCCAGTTGGTGAGAGAGGGAGAGAGAGAGAGGGCCCGACTCCATCCTCTCTACCACATCATCCATCTCTCTCGCTCTCTCACCCTCTCTCGCTCTCTATCTCTCTCACTCTCTATCTCTCACTCTCTCTCTGACCCTCTCTCAATCTCTCACCCTCACTCTCTATCTCTCACCCTCTCTCTGACCCTCTCTCTCTGACCCTCTCTCAATCTCTCACCCTCGCTCTCTCAATCTCTCACCCTCACTCTCTATCTCACCCTATCTCACCCTCGCTCTCTCACCCTCTCTCTCTCTCTCTCTCAATCTCTCACCCTCGCACTCACCACCATGGCCCTAAACTTCTCTTGGGAGTCGTCGCCGCCCTTCGGGCTCAACGGCAGCGCGGGGAACGCGACGGGCGGCGACGGCGCGATCCTCGACGAGGCCGTCAACGCCGTCACCACGGCTATCCTCGTGGTCACCATGGTGTCGCTGGGCTGCACCATGGAGCTCCAGCACATCGGCGCACACATCAGGAAGCCCCGGGGCATTATCATCGCCGTGCTGGCGCAGTTCGGCATCATGCCGCTCACCGCCTTCGCCTTGGCCAAGGTCTTCCGCCTGAATCCCGTGGAGGCCGTCACCGTCCTCATCTGCGGCTGCTGTCCCGGAGGGAACCTCTCCAACGTGTTCGCGCTGGCGCTCGACGGAGACATGAACCTCAGGTGCGTTCTCGTCTTGCCACGAGCGTTCGCGTCGTCGTGTTCACGTCGTCGTGTTCGCGGTGTCGCGTTGTCGTCGTGCGTCGCGATGCGCTGTGTCGGGGATCCTTTGTCGGAGGCGTCCGCGAGCTTCAGGCCGCTGCTGCTCGTGAGTCGAGATCGACACGGGGGAGAACTCGCAGGCTCCGGGGTGGTCGACGCGAACTCTCTGCGGTTTATTGCCTTCAAAAAATCTTGCCCCTTGGCGAGAACAAACCAATCGGTGACCCCTTTGAAAGCGACGGCCTGACAATGATCACGTTTTTATGGCCTCCTTCTCCCTGCTTTTGTTTTCCCTCTGCATCCCCCACGGCGTCTTGGGACGAGTTACATTTAGACTCTTTGAAACGTTTCAATGAATCTCAGATGAAGGCTTCGAATCAAGATGAGTTTGAATTTAAACTCATCTTACGAGTTGTTGATCGTCGCGTAACTCATCACAGCATCGTCGCCATTATCATCTTTCGGCTGCGTGTGCGTGCACGTGTTGAGATTTCCCAATACATCGGATCAATGCATTCGTTTGATCTGCGATTTTAGCTTTCGGCATATACGTGCGTGGAGACAAAGTATTGGTGGACCGCGCACACTTGTGAGATCCCCAAGCCCGCTGGTCCATGTGGTAGCCAGGAGATGGCAGTACAGCAAACGGGATTGTGAACCCATCTGTGTGGACCTGTGAGTGTTCGTGCATTCTATGCATTGTGGGTTTATTTTTTCTTATCGCGATCTGCTCTTGCTTCTCACGTACGATGGCCGGCGCAGCGCACACGAGGTGGTGGGTGGCCATCACCGGGTCAGATATTCGTCACTGGTGTGGCCCTTGAGGGGGAATTGAACTCGGGTTGTCGAGTTCAGGGCACTAAGCACTCACTAATGCTTCCAACAACAACAACCGCCATTCGCCACTAAGTGGTGGTGACGTCACCACGACGCTTGTGCCGGGCTAGGTGCACCTTGAGGCCACGTGAAGTGTCGAACGCCCGCTGGCAGGAGGTCACGGGGCAGACCCAGGTGCCACGGGTCGACTGACTGAGATGACTGAGATGAGTGGCTGATGCACCACCTGTGCCCCCTACTGTGCCAACTTGCTGTGTTTTGCCACCCGGCGCTCCGTTCATTGTTGTGAGCGTCGCTCCTCCGCCCTCCTGTTGCTGTTGGATGGCGACTGCCTCCAACTGCCCAGTAGCGTCCTTCACGAGCCTCCTCCACAGATGCTTCCCACACACAACCATCTTCAATGGAATTGGCCCAACATGCAGTGCAGGATTCCTGAAACACAGCTTGGTGACTCATGGAGCCTTTCAGCAATAAATAATCCATAATCATCCCTATGCTGTCAAATGCATTTTTTTAGTTTTTACCACTGAATAGGTTTTCCCAGTTGTGCTGTATTTTCAGCAAAATTCCTGAATAAGGTCCCAGCACGTGGAGCGAACCGTCAGACACCGTGCCAAAAAACATTCGGTCTGACCGGAAAAAACGCACCGGAGGCACGTGGACCGAAACGTCGGACGTCGTGCCGAAAAGCACGCGGCACGACCCGGACACATATCGGAGACCTTCTGCATGGCACAACGGCATAACGCTACCCCGTGGTATTACTCGCTGAGGATGTTATGAACAATTCAGCAACGGGCGTCCGTTTCGCCCCACATTGCCCTTGTACTTTCTTCGTGTGCAGCATCCTCATGACCACGTGCTCCACCGTGCTGGCGCTGGGCATGATGCCGCTGCTGCTGTGGGCGTACAGCCACGGCCTGTCGGACACGCGCTTCGTCATTCCCTACGCGAAGATCTCCATCGCCCTCGCTCTCATCCTCTTGCCCTGCGCCGTGGGGATCTTCATCAACGCCAAGTTCCCCAAGTACTCGCGCGTGATCCTGCGGGTGAGCGCGCGGCGCCACGTGGCGCGACTTCAGCCGGTGCAGTGCGGAGGGCTGCTCCGGAATTGTTTCGCGCCCCTGGCGCCTGATTTGTTGGCCTCACAGGATTACAGGGATACAGGGCACGACAGCACATGGTCATTGTGGATTGGCGTAACTTGCACTCTCGTGGTAGTGCCTTATGCCCGACAACCCCCACTCCGAGGTAGCCTAGCTTCGATTTGGTTAGAAAAAAATTAGCTAGAAATTATGGCTCACGTTCGCCGCACCATCAGCGCGATCTACCTGTGCTCGTAGAGTAGAAGCTGGTTATAAGCACACCCCCCCCCCCCGCCTTCTATCGCCAATACCACGGTTACTGTTGCCGTGAACTCCAATCGCTGGTTCCTCCACCGCTGTTGAGGACTCGGTCTGGCAGGATGGCTGTATCGCCTCCTCCACCACCACCACACTGAGTGCCACAACCACCACCACCACTACCACCAACACCACCACCACATTGAGTCCCACCACCACCACCACAATGGGTCCCACCACCACCACCACACTGAGTCCCACCACCACCAGCACCACACTGAGTGCCACCACCACCACCACACTGAGTCCCACCACCACAATGAGTCCCACCACCACCACCACCACACTGAGTCCCACCACCACCACCACACTGAGTGCCACCACCACCACAATGAGTCCCACCACCACTACCACCACAATGAGTCCCACCACCACCACCACAATGAGTCCCACCACCACACTGAGTGCCACCACCACCACAACAATGAGTCCCACCACCACCACACTGAGTCCCACCACCACCACCACACTGAGTCCCACCACCACCACACTGAGTCCCACCACCACCACCACACTGAGTGCCACCACCACCACACTGAGTCCCACCACCACCACACTGAGTCCCACCACCACCACCACACTGAGTCCCACCACCACCACACTGAGTCCCACCACCACCACACTGAGTCCCACCACCACCACCACACTGAGTCCCACCACCACCACACTGAGTCCCACCACCACCACACTGAGTCCCACCACCACCACCACACTGAGTCCCACCACCACCACACTGAGTCCCACACCACCACCACACTGAGTCCCACCACCACCACCACACTGAGTCCCACCACCACCACACTGAGTCCCCACCACCACCACACTGAGTGCCCACCACCACCACCACACTGAGTGCCACCACCACCACACTGAGTCCCACCACCACCACACTGAGTCCCACCACCACCACACTGAGTCCCACCCACCACCACACTGAGTCCCACCACCACCACACTGAGTCCCACCACCACCACACTGAGTCCCCACCACCACACTGAGTCCCACCACCACCACCACACTGAGTCCCACCACCACCACCACACTGAGTCCCACCACCACCACACTGAGTCCCACCACCACCACCACACTGAGTCCCACCACCACACTGAGTCCCACCACCACCACACTGAGTCCCACCACACCACCACACTGAGTCCCACCACCACCACACAAGTCCCACCACCACCACCACACTGAGTCCACCACCACCACACTGAGTCCCACCACCACCACACTGAGTCCCACCACCACCACCACACTGAGTCCCACCACCACCACACTGAGTCCCACCACCACCACACTGAGTCCCACCACCACCACCACACTGAGTCCCACCACCACCACCACACTGAGTCCCACCACCACCACACTGAGTCCCACCACCACCACACTGAGTCCCACCACCACCACACTGAGTCCCACCACCACCACACTGAGTCCCACCACCACCACACTGAGTCCCACCACCACCACACTGAGTCCCACCACCACCACACTGAGTCCCACCACCACCACACTGAGTCCCACCACCACCACACTGAGTCCCATCACCACCACACTGAGTCCCACCACCACCACACTGAGTCCCACCACCACCACCACACTGAGTCCCATCACCACCACACTGAGTCCCACCACCCGCAGGGCACTGCAGGTCACGACGCTTCTCCGTCTGCGTCTTCCCCCAGCACTGCTCCACTTTGCCTCGCATCGTCTCACACGCGCTTCTGCGGCCGTCTGGAAAGCTCTTCCTTCAAATATTAGCACGCCACTGGAACTGTGCGCTTGTAAATCTGAATTGAGAACTAATTTCTTGAGAACGTATCTTTGTGTTTAGTTTGTTGTCCTTCTCCCGCACCTACGATTTAGCACGGGTGGCTACGTAGGGTGCGAAAGAAGTTCAACGTACGTACACATACATTACCGAGCTCCTGCAATCTCGCTCAATTCAAGAAACTCGTGTCAATTATAAGCACGTGTAAAAAACACGAACCTAACAAAACCGTTTGGGAGTAAGGCAAGGTGCGCTTATACTCACAGTGTGATTCTATCTAGATGTGTTCTCCCAGCCCCCACGAGTGAAATGTAATGGTGTGCTTTTAAGAGGTGTGCTTGTATCAAGCTTCTGCTGTTTTTCCACACGTCGGCCTGTATATATATATACACACACAGGGCAGACGGATGTTCCGTCGGCCAGCAAATATGTCGCGTCAGCCTCGATTTGTGCCTCCTACTTGGCTGGCCAAACGCTTTTGATGGACGGGGCCAATTTCCAGCGGGGCGGCAGCGACCGCACTCCCCTCCTGCGTGGTTCGAGTCCATGTCGGATCACCGTCACCGGAGGAGACGCGGTGCCTCCCCGCGGCGCAACAACTCAACCCACCTCGAGCGGTCTTTCTCTCTCGCCGTGCGCCAGGGCGGGATGCTGCTCCTGCTCCTCATCTCCGTCGTGTTGGTGGTCCTGTCGGCGCTGTACGTGGGCTCCGCCATCTGGCTCGTGTTCTCTCCCACGCTCATCTCCATCGCAGTGCTCATGCCCCTGCTCGGATACGCGCTGGGCTACGTCCTCGCGGGGATCTTCCGCCTCTCACACAAGTGCGTTGTCCACCCCCGCCGCCTCCACCGCGCTCACCGCGTCCACCACCCCCACCGCCTTCACCGCCCTCACCGCCCTCACTGCCCTCACCGCCCCCACCACCCCGACCGCCTTCACCGCCCCCACCGCCCTCACCACCCCCACCGCCTCCACCGCCCCCACCGCCTTCACCACCCTCACCACCCCGACCGCCCCCACCGCCTCCACCGCCTCCACCGCCTTCACTGCCCCCACTGCCCTCACCACCCCGACCGCCTCCACCGCCCCCACCCCGACCGCCCCCACCGCCTCCACCGCTCCCACCGCCCCCACCGCCTCCACCGCCTCCACCGCCTTCACTGCCCCCACTGCCCTCACCACCCCGACCGCCTCCACCGCCCCCACCCCGACCGCCCCCACCGCCTCCACCGCCCCCACCGCCCCCACCGCCTTCACTGCCCCCACTGCCCTCACCACCCCGACCGCCTCCACCGCCCCCACCGCCTTCACCGCCCCCTCTCGGACCCAGACGCTCCGCCGTTCTGCCAGTGGGGGACGAAATAGCGGCACCGCAAACGTGGTCGGTGGCGGCAGGGAGCGGCGAGCACCGATGTTCGCGGGTTTTATTTTTTTACGTAACATTGACTTAATATCAGAATCATCAGAATCGTCATCAGAATGTGGAGGAATCTGATGAGCTATGACGCTCAGAGTATGGGCTGGGGTCTGCAGGTTACAACAGCAAATAATGCAGCAACGTTCCGAGTGCAAAATAGGGAAAATTGTCAGCAGGTCACAAAATATAAATTAATAATCACGTCATTAATTCTAAAAGTATGACTAATCAAGCTTGGGAAAAGCAGCAAAGACAACAACAAAACAATCCTAGACCACAAATAATGAAATATTATTTCTTATAACTTTACATTGATTTGTATTGACAAAAAACTCAAAACATTCGGCCTAAAGAGAAAAATATAAATAACAAGTAACGTGTTAATCAATGGCCCTACCTCATGGCATGCAAATTAATAAAACACAAACACCTCATTGTTTTGATCGGTTTCTCTTTCGACTACGTCCACACGTGCTTTCAATATGAAACCAAAGAGCAGACATTAATGTCTAACCCTAACCCTAATCATCAGGCAAACACACGAAGACAAATATTCCTCGTGCACCCTACATAGACCGTTGGGGGCAAAACGCTGTTCGTGAGCACCGACGCAGGCCGGTACATCGCACGTTGGGATGCAGCACGCCTCACCCGCCTTTGTCTCCCCGGTGACGTTGTTTACACACCGCACCAGGTACTCACTTAAAGTTGATCCGACCAAAGTGAGACCCAGGACCGGTTCGGATATCACTCGCCACTTGCTATCCGTGGTCCTGAATCGAACTCTGGTCGCCGGGTTTGTAGCGCAGTGTGTGCTAACCACTCCACCACCGCTCCCCAACAACAACAGTCATTCACCACTAAGTGGCGGTGACGTCACCGCGGCGCTTGTGCCAGGCTAGGTGTACTCCGAGGCCGAAGTGTCCAATTCTCACTGGCAGGAGGTCACGGGGACAAACTCATGTGTCGTGGGTTGACTGACCAAGATGACTGGCAGATGCACCACCTGTGTCCCCTACTGTGCCATCTTGCTGCATTTTAACCACCCTGCGCCCGTTGTTGTGAGCGTCGCTCCTCAGCCCTCCACTATTTGCTTGGCTGGTTACTGCCTCCAACCGCCCAGTGGCGTCCTTGACGAGCCTGCACACACACACACACACGTGAATGCACACACACACGGACATATATTTGGAATCACGTCTCTTTGTTGATCTGTTTTATTCTGTCAGCTTGCCCACGGCCTCCAACCAACCGCAGTCGAGAATCTGCCTGGTGAAAGCTTGTGTGTGTTTGGGTGTGTGTTAGCAGCGTGTGTGTTAGTAGCGTGTGTGTTTGGGTGTGTGTTAGTAGCGTGTGTGTGTTAGTAGCGTGTGCTAGCGCGCTCCGCTACGAACCCGGTGACCCGAATTCGATTCCCGCTCACAGCCATCAACATCAGTGACGATTATGTGAACCGGTCATGGGCTTCCCCTAGGTCGACTCACCCTCAAATTAGTACCAGGTGCGATGTGTAAACATCGCCACTGGGGAGACAAAGGCGGTAGGCTGTGGCTGCCTTCATAGCACAGTGCGTTAACCAGAGCGCCACCGCTCCACCTCATTCCACTTTATACTGCCTTCATAAAAACAACAACAACGATACAATGGACTACCGTTTCGGGCAATGACCCTTATTCAGAGGCACGGGTGCACACTTTCTGTGATGTGGCGGTGTTAACTGGTTTCGTGCACCAGGGATGCGTTCCCGATTTTCAGATTCATCTGAAAAAAAAAATTATTCATATTGGGCCGCGATCTGAAATGTCAAACGACCCTAAAAAAAACCACTCTTTCTTTCAGATGCATTCAATTAAGAGAGATTAAGTCTAGGACGTCACGTGTCACGCCGTCACTTGGCGCGCCTTTCCCGTCAAAAGTGGCGTCTCGTGGCGTTGGATGACGTCGCCACGAAGACACGTTCCAATTATCCCATCAAGCGATTAAATTATCTGAAGAAAAATAAAATAATTGTCCTTAAATAACCACATTTAAATAAAAAAAAATCCCAAACTCATCGCTATTTTGCAACATCATCAACGCGATCTAACCAACCTCGTTCGTTTTTCACTCAGGACGAACTTCATTACGAAGATAAAAAAAATCTAAACGCAGTTCGGTCTCCGCTCTACAACGGTCCACATTCACCACGTTTATATAATGCCACCAAGGACCGATTTACGACGCCGAAACTAGATTTACGACGCACCTTCCCGTACGACTCCGAACGCATTCGAACAGGAGCCGGTCTGGTTTCCGAACGCCACTTGGCGTTGAGGCTTTTTTTGGTCTTCTCAGATGCTCGTGTGGATGTTTACCGGTCGAACCCCGCTAGATACGGCCGATAAAATGAGAAACACATCGGCAAGTGGCGTTTCCGCCGTTGCCACCCTCCATGCGAAAGTAGAATCCGTTTTTTTACGACCGGGGGTGTTTCCAGGAACGCACACAAAGCGGGGACCGTCTGCAGAAAGAACGAGTGGTTTGAGGATTCGTCTGACATTTCAGAACGCGGCCTGCAGTATTTGTCCCTTTCTTCTTACAGGTGCAGACGCACGGTGTCCATGGAGACCGGCTGTCAGAACCTGCAGCTGTGCACCGCGGTCCTCAAACTGACCTTCGACCCGCAAGTGATCGGCCCCCTCTACCTCTTCCCTCTGCTCTACATCTTCTTCCAGGTGGTCGTGTTGGTCTGGAAAGGCCGCAGGCCGACGGGCCAACGGCAAAGCCAAAACATGTGGAATTATTGGTTATTTTTCGGTAAAGTCACGTACATAGAAAACAAAGGTCGAAATTAAAAGCAAAAATCCCCTACGACGTTTCGATCGCAACACAAGCGGTCTTCTTCAGGTGGAGGGGAAAGAAACGTCTTGGCTTTTTTGCTTTAAATTTTGATTCTTGTTCTCTATCCACGTGACTTTACCGAAAGAACCAAGAAGATGAATTCCTGCGGTCACGAAAGTTTTAAATGGAAACCAAAAAATATTCTCCACTTTAACGTGGGGACACGGAACGGAGTTCTGCTCAGAAATGGTCCTTTACCCAGAATGCTCCGCAACAACGTATCATCAGTTTGGCGTTGAATAGGGCTGCCAAGAACATCTGGTAACTGGGCAGCATTTGATTCAAACTAGAACTGCCTTTTGTGTTTAGCTTGTTGTCCTTGCCCCCGCACCTCCGATTAGGACGGTTGGCTACGTACGGTGCGAGAGCGTACATGGAAGTTCAGTGTACATGCAGACGGTCAAAACCAGTGCAGATTGTTTCTTGCTGAAATAATGCTGCTGGGTCATATTGGCCTTGAGAGCCAATAGTCGTCTGATGGTCTAAAAACATAATCGTTTTCTTGGTTCTTTCGGTAAAGTCACGTAGAATGGAAATAATAAAATAATAAACATAAAACATAATAGACCTGTTCTTCACCTGAGGACGGCTGCTTGCGTTGTGGCCGAAACGTCGTGAGAATTATTTTATGATGTTTTATTTTTTATTATTTTATTATTTCTATTCTACGTTATTTTACCGAAAGAACCAAGGAGATGAATCCCTGCAGTCACGAAAGCTTTAAATCGAAATTTAACATAATCGTTATTGATTAGTGGATTACTCACAACGGGGCTCTGCTTCTATTTGCTTTCATCATTTGCAACACCGCGGCCCGTGGCTTTGTGCGGACCCTTGCAGGTGGTGACGGCGCTACTCTTTGTGCTGGTCTTCCGCTTCTACGTCCACTGCTACCGCCAGCAGAGACAGCCCCAGACCGGTACGCCTGCCCGAAGGCACTGCCACTGACACCTGTGCCGGCCACGAAATAACAAAGCGGGCTTGGGGAGATAGTGGCGGGGGAGGGGGGCTGCAATGATGGACAAATTAAAGATCAACAAAAGGTCAAAGTCCTGACTTGGTGAAACACTCGGGGTGGGACTCGGCTGAGGATTAGCAGTCGTGCTTTAGGGCTGATAGGATAGTGTTAGGGGTTAGGGCTTCCGTCTAGTTTCGTGTGGATTTTATATTTTACCAGGTAAGGCTCACTGAGCATTGTAGTTCTTTATCAGAAGCGACCTGGCCACAAATGATAGCCCAAATGAAGTGGCTCATCACGTGGAGATTTATAGCAGCCAAATACTCTAAACGCGTGACGTTGATTCAAGTTGTGGAAGGAAAAACCGGAGGACCCGGAGAAAAATTCACGCGACCACCGGGAGAGCGGACACGCAAACTCCAAATATACAGCAGCAGGCGTCAGGGTCGGGATCAAACTCGCGACCTCCTGTATACCAGGCGAGGTAGTTAATATCTCATAGCCACCGTGGCGCCCTGGCCAAGTTTGTTGGATGGAACATTTCAAAATAAACCGAACCCCTCCCAGACAGCGTCCCTCCCCTCCATCCCCTCCGTCCCCCTCCCTCCCATCCTCCCTCCCCTCCGTCCCCCTCCCTCCCATCCTCCCTCCCCTCCGTCCCCCCTCCCTCCCCTAACCCCCTCCCCCCCTCCCTCCCCTCCTTCCCTCCCCCCTCCCTCCCCCCTCCCCTCCCTCCACTCCCTCCCATCCCCCCTCCCCTCCCTCCCCTCCGTCTCTCCCCCCTCTCTCCCCTCCATCCCCTGTCCCTTTCCCTCCCCCCCTCCCTCCCTCCCTCCATCCCCTGTCCCTTTCCCTCCCCCCCTCCCTCCCTCCCCTCCATCCCCTCCATCCCCTGTCCCTTTCCCTCCCCCCTCCCTCCCTCCCCTCCATCCCCTGTCCCTTTCCCTCCCCCCTCCCTCCCTCCCTCCATCCCCTGTCCCTTTCCCTTCCCCCCTCCCTCCCTCCATCCCCTGTCCCTTTCCCTCCCCCCCCCTCCCTCCCCTCCATCCCTCCTGTCCCTTTCCCTCCCCCCCTCCCTCCCCTCCATCCCCTGTCCCTTTCCCCCCCCCCCTCCCCTCCATCCCCTGTCCCTTTCCCTCCCCCCCTCCCTCCCCTCCATCCCCTGTCCCTTTCCCTCCCCCCCTCCCTCCCCTCCATCCCCTGTCCCTTTCCCTCCCCTGTTGTTAAAAAAAGAGGTGGAGCAACAACTGTCAGAGAGCATGACGTGCAGTCGCTGCGGTGCCGAATGTCACAACGAAGGCTGCGGAAAACCTCCGGCCGCGTGTGGGACGAAGCGTCACGCCTGCGTGTTGTGTGTGTTTGTGTTGTTGTTGCTGCTGCTGCTTCTTACTCCAGAGAGCGTCAACGCGATCTACACGGGCAAGGCGGAGTTGGAGGACATGGACGTGGAGTCGACGGCCAGGGATGGAGCGCCCGCCGGGCACAGCTCGGAGACGGTGTCGTGGAAGAGGAAGCTGTCGTGGTGGAAAGTCAAGAAGCAGGAGGAAAGATGATGGGGGCGGGGGGGAGGGGAAATAAAAAGAACCCAACGTAACCCAATGATGATGATGATGATGGATTTACCGACCAAACTAAACAATAACTCTACAACAGCAACATTCCTCGGCCTGCCACGTAACATGTAAATGCGTTTGGCATTTGCGTGGTGGAATCTGCACACGTGGGGGTGCGTGTTTGTTCACTAGCTTCAATAGTACATTTCATTCCACGCTACGGGATTGTGGCCAGTGCTGAACTTCAGCTGAAACAGTCCAGAACTCCGCACGCCGACGCGTCCCTCGCTCCTCGATGTATTATTGATGAGCCCATTCGTTCACGACGGGTTTAACACTCAGGCATCCGCGAACGACATTACCATTCGTTCGTTGATGCTCGGTGCCGGATCGCGCGAGTCAAATGTGTGTCGTGAACCCATCTCCACCCGACGCAGACAATTCGCAAAGTTGCCGCGTGAAGAAACGCGCCTGGTTTATCACCGCTTCAGCAGCAGCAGCAGCAGCACCGCCACCGCCGGTGTGTTGTCGGAGAGAAATCTCACGGCATTTCACGTTTTAGTACAGAATTATAGGGTGCAACATAGCGGGTACAATAATCTCATTTAGTTTGTTATGGATAGGTACAGCTTGCACTCTAGTGGTAGTGCCTTACACTACTCCAAGCCGGTCTAGCAGCGTTCCAAAAGGTATCGAGTGAGAGATGAAGCCTATGTTATGGCGCATGTGTCTGACTTTCTAGATCATTTGGGTCACAATCTGCGCGACACTCAGTAGCGTATCGGGAATCGATTTCCTCAACTATGTGGAACATAGCATTGGGCGGTTTCTGTACACGTCCCAAAAAATACTGTGGATTTAACCCCCCCCCCCTCACCGACCCCCCAACTGTTATACATATTTACTTATACCCGTTAACGGAACATCAGCTAATAATATTGGGAACACTCACTGGAATAATGTCTATGGGACAACGAGCCAACTTGGTAGAGCCTCACGATGTCCGATAAGCGGCTTGATAACCAGCAGTAGCCAATGTACCTCATCGGGTTGCCAACGTTTCGGAACATTTTGGGACACGGTGACATGGCACTTATTCGCTCGTGTCACTGATGTGACGCGGAGCCTGATGGAGTTCTGGTAAATAATCAGAAGTGCAGTGACGAACTTGCGTGTTCGGGTCACATTGTTTTAACGGAGCGTCTTCGTCATCCACGATGTGCATTTTTATTTGGAGACATTTGTTGTTGTTGTTGTGTGTGTGTAGTGCGTATGCACGTGGGGACCAGTGGCGCAGTGGTTCGCGTATTGCGCTACGAACCCGGCGACCAGAGTTTCGATTCCCGCTCACAGACAAGATCTGTGAGAAATATCTGAACCGGTGCTCGGTTTCCCCTAGGTCGATTCTAATAGCGCAGGCATTTGCGATGGCCAAACATCTGGTTGGGTGTGGTGCTGGCCACCCACCCCCTCGTGTGCCGTGACTGCCTTAAGAGGCGAATACTCGTCCTGATGGTCTCTTGCAGGCCATATGGGGGGTCTCTGTCTTTGTGGTTCATACTCTGTACTGCAACCTTGGCGACGTAGGTTCGATCCCTGGCCCATCCACAGCATCGGTGGCACATGCATCGCGATCTAATATGGGTCTCTCCTAGGTCAACTCAGCCTTAACTGAGCACCCTGGTGCTGTGTGTGAACATCGGCACCGCAGGGATGAAGCCAGCTGGGGGTCGCGGCGGACATAGTATGCCCTGTCTGTCAATAGTGGTCTTAATAGGTGCTCGCAAACAGCAATCCCTTCTGCATTCTATAAGGCTACATGGCAGGTCTGTGTGTTGTGCGTGCCGTCTGCCACCTGTTATTTTGGGGCTACATTCCGTACACTTTTGAAAACGAACTTACCGAAGCAATTGCAATGGAGACCGGGTGTCATCATCCCAGTGTCGTTAACAGAATAATTATTCTTATTATTTTAGGAGTTAAAAATGTTAACTCTTTCACACACCCTCGTGTTTTTTTAAACCAACAATTGTCTGCATTCGGATTGCTCACTCAAGCAAGTGATTTACCTATGAAGATTCAATAAGTCTCCGGACTATGAGGCCTGCTGCATTGGGATGTTTGGTCAATTTCAGTCGGGAATGTGAATGGCATCGGGTCGGTGGGAACTGGAGAGGCAGGAGAAACCCCATTCGTACGAGGAACTCACAGCACGGGAATCTCCTGGCCACCTTGCAAGCCCTACGGCTCTAACCCCAGGCAGGCCCCGAGTGGCTCCCCGATCCAAGTACTAACCGGGTTCAAACCTATAGTAGCAGGTTTTTACCCTTTCAACTGGTACAAACACTGACACCTTTATAAAAGGCATCATGCTTGCAATAACCACAACACAAGCAGTCAAAATGCAAACAAAAAGAAACAACTCTGATGATGATGATAATGATATGCACTGTCCTTGAAGTTGATTGGTCCACACCCGAGACAGCTTTTCTTAGAGCCTAGTCTCCATTGGTGTTGGACCAGATGACGCCAATAGGCGTACAACTCAAAGACAGCGCACTATCAGAGTATTAAGAGCTCGGGGTAAGCATATAAAGGTGTCAGTTTTTGTACCAGTTGAAAGGGTAAAAACCTATTACTATATTTTGCCACTGGTAAAGGATGTCTCAGAATGTGGGTTCAACCCTGCTTAGCTTTTTGAGATCCGATGGGATTGGTGCATTGATTGTGATTTGATCTTAAGATAACTTACCAATGTTAAGGCTTAATTAATAATAAAATTAGATTGCTTTGAGTAACCATTGTTTAACTTGTTTCATAATCGTAGCATGTATTTTTGAAAATATTTTACGGGAAAAAAAATATATATTTTTAAAATACAATATATTTTAACAACCGTGTCTTTTGCTATGCGTATATGAAAGATGTCCCAGCATTCTGTGCTTTCATATTGCAACTTCGTATGCGTTCACAGTGTTTGCTGTCGATCTCTGCTATTGAAACGGACGACTGGGCCCAGGTGTACATGGAGAGGTGGATTGTGCCGCGTTTCTCGCTTGAACAAATACTCCCACAATGCAATGTACAGGACCAGCAATATTTTTTTGAATGTTACTTTGAATTATAAACGCGTTTTAGTAGCAATACTATTTGATTCGTGAAAGATTTGCCTGTTACTCATTAACTTCTATTTAGCACCCATTCAAATGCCTATTTTAAAAAGTCGTCAACAAAACGTATTTTAAAATGTAATTCTCAGCAGGCCCCATGGTGTTAAGTGCAGTCTCCGACTCGTATTAGCCACTCAATTTGACTGGACTCTTTGTGTTCGGAAGAAGGCTCTTGGCTGAAACGTGGTTCAAAAATGGCGTCTTTTAAATACAAGCAGTGTTGTTGACAAGTTTTCTTGAGTTTCGTTGCTGTGTGATGTCTCACCTTCTGCTTCACGTGCTGGGAGCTTTTTTTTGGACGGTTCCTGAAGAAGCCTCCAGCACTTGGAGGGAAACGTCAGACACGAGAACGGGGCGGAGAGCTGTGGTTTAATTCGGCAGCTATTTGGATGTTTTTGTTTTAAACGGGGAGATTTCGGATCGGTGTTCGCTTCACGTTACGTTCTGGTTGATTCTATGTTCGGCATATTACTTTAAAAATGTTGTATCCATTATCTACCATTATCTTAAGTTGAAATTGTATTAAATGACTATTTAGGGTCGTGTTTCTTGTTTTGCCGGGCATACATTGTAACTATGTGAAAACAATACGTTCAAACTTAAAGCGTTGGATTTGTGATTTAAAAAAAAAATGGTACGAACAGCTACATTGTCTGAATACATGACTTGGGATCGTCGATTCGCGGAGGTAATTAGCGATATACTCTCGACTGCTTTTGACGAGCAGTGTCGGCAGAGCTGCTGATGAGACAGTGTTAAGGTCGCACTCAATACGCACAAAGTGACTGCCACTTTGTGCGTACATCATCGAGGAGCATAAGCCATCACACCAATCCCGGTCATCCTCGCAGATTTTGGCTGGCCATCGAACGAAAAACGATCACCGCATCGCGTGCTTTCAGATGCGCTTCCGCGGCCGTCTAGAACGCTCGCTTCCGGTATTAGGAAGCCACTGGAGCCATGCTCTTTTAAATCGTCTAGATTGAAAACTCATTTATTGAGAACTACTTTTTTGTGTTTAGTTTGTTGTCATTTCGCCCGCACGTCCGATACGCAGGGTTGGCTACGTACGAAATAAGTCCAACATACACACACACACACGGTCATGGGAATTGTTTGAGCATACGGTACTTTTCGCTGATAAATGAGGGGTTGGTGAATGGAAGTGGGAGCTTTCGCATCCCTGTGGACTGGTTCAGATATTTCTATTTATACATATAAAAAAAACTATTTTTATTTGATCAGGTAAGGCCCACTGAGCTATAAAACACTTTTTCAGACGCGACCTGGCCACATTTGATAGCTCAACGAAGTGGCTTATCACTGTGGAAATGTACAACAGCCAAATATTCTACACGCGTGTTTCTAAATGTGGAGGGAAAAACCGGGAGACCCGGAGAGAAATCCACGCGACCACGGGGAGAGAGACGCAATCTCCAAATATACAGCAGCAGGCGTCAGGGTCGGGATCGAACCCACGACCTCCTTCATACCAGGCGAGGTAGTTAACATCTCGCCACCATGGCGCCTTCATCTCGCCACTGATGTTTAGCCGAGACCGGAAATCGAATTTCAAAAGTTAACACTGCGGTGAAGGTAAAGGTGCAGCCCTGCAATTGCTTGCGCGTGCCACTGCTGAAGGGCCTCAACTAGAGGGAGCACGAGAGAGCCAGCCCCCTTGCAGAGGGTACAGAAGTACCGTTTTTTTTTTATTCAAGGTTACAATTTTGTCTTGATTTAATTCGTAGATCTCGAGGATTGGGAATGAAGCCGTTGTGAATGTGGTGCGGAAACGTTAATCCATCCTCATTAATGACCCAATGGGCTGTGAAGCCCATCAGAGCGTGCCGGCCGGACCGGTTGCCCTGTACGTGCATGCATTTAATAATAATAATGATACAATGCTCTTGTGTATCTGACGCCTTGGGCGTAAAAGTCACGTGTAGAAACATTCGCTCAATATGAAAACAAAAAGTACATTGTTCATCCACTACCGCGTTCCACTTCTGTGAATCATTAACACAAAGACAAAGATCCCCCGTGGAGCCTTAACAGACTGTCGGGGCAAGTGCGGTTAGCGAGTAGCACCTATGAAGGCCGGCACGGCACACGACGGGGTGGGTGGCCAGCACCACACCCGGCCGCCTTTGTCTCCCCAGCGGCGATGTTTACACACCGCACCAGGTATTCATTTGAGGCTGAGTCGACCTAGGGGAGGCCCCCAGGGCCCGGTTCAGAATATCGTCACTGATGTTGGCCGTGAGTGGAAGTTGAACTCGGTTGGCCGGGTTCGTAGCGCAGCGTAGCGCTAACCTCTGCACTACTCCCCCCCCCCCATTGAATCATTAACTCACAAGAGGACAAACCCCTTCACCGACATGATCAGCCGGGGGTGGCGTGGGGTGGCGTGGGGTGACCAATAGCACGCACGGCCGCTTTCGTATCCCTCCCCCCCCCCTCCGTGCAATTATTTACACATCACTTACCTCAGGTACTCATCTAAGAGCGAGTTGACCTCAGGGAGGACCACAGCATGACCAGTTATACTGTGCGCACGCACACACACACACATAAATCACTCGCCACCCAATGATGACGTTAAGTGTTAACCCGGGAAGATATTGGGCCGAGTTGAATGAAGAGAGGAAACAGAACCGGCTTGGACATCGCTCGCCAACCCACTGATGTTTCAGCCGTGGCCAGGAATCGAACTTTGTTCGGTGGCCGGATGTGCAGCGTAGTGCGTTCGCCGCTCACACAGACACACAACTCGGTTGGAGGAGGGGATTGGAGTTTGGGGAAATTATCATTTAGTCGGCCACCTCGCTCAACGATCTCCCACTTCGGGGTTTCCACGATCACTAACCCCCGACCACGCCAGGTATGTCAGCTGCCAAGTTCCAATGATTGCAGTTCGAGTTGAAATGCGTTCTCGTGAATTTGCGCGATTCTGTTCATGTTATCGGATAACTACTTTCTGTTAGCTTACTATCCATAAGCCCTTGAAAATAATGGTAAGCAGAGAATTTAAAAAACAATTATTAATCGGGCCCCGTGGTTGTGAAGTGCAATCTCCATGTCTTATCAACTCGAGCATGGGACCTTTTTTTCCACTATCAACGTATAAAAAATTATAAGTTTAACCGTTTCTGGCACTAAAACACCAGGTTTTAAGATTTTCAAACACCAAATGGAAACCCTTTGCAATTGAATCAAGTTACCGCATTAACCACACGCGGTTCTAATGGTGAACATGCAAACAAACATGCTCCGATAATAGAATTGCATTGTCTTTGAAACTGATTGGCCTGCACAAGAGACAGCCTTCTCTAGGGAGACAAAGGCGACCAGGTGCCTTTGTCAGAGCAAGGTTGTATTTGCATGTTGACGACACGTACTGTGTGTGGTTAATGCAGATTTGATTCCTTGCAAAAGTTTTCTGTTTGGTATTTTAACATCTTAGCACCCTCTTGTTTTATTGCCACAAAGGGTCAAACACATTCTTATGTTTTGATACTGGCAAGGAAGGTCCCATATTCTACCTGCTCACCCCGGCCTATAAATGTCCTTATCGTCCATTGTCGTTGTGCTGTTCGCCTTTTGGCGTTCTCTGGTCGAGCACTGTTTGAGACAAGGCTCTACAGAAAGCTGTCTCTGGTGTGGAACAATCCGTTTCAAAGACAATGCATATATTCATTATCAGAGCATGTTTTTTGTTTGTTTGCATGCTCACCATAAGCAGTGTGTGGTTAATGCAGACGGGATTCCTTGCAGAAGGTATCTCTTTGGCGTTTGCACATCTTATCACCTCCTGTTTTATTGCCAGAAAGGGTAAAAGTATATTCGAACTTTTCACACTTATCAACTCTGTCTGGCCTCCGTTTACGTGGTATGCAGAAGGGCAATTGCCTGAAACGTCACCGATTATATATCATTTATGTTAAGATCACATTTCGATTATTTTGCCGCTGTAAATTTCCACGTGATAAGCCACTTTTGTTGAGCTATCATTCGTGACCAGGTCGCTTCTGAAATAAAAGTTAATAGCTCAGTGGACCTTACCTGGTGGATAAAAAAAATAGTTTTGATTTAATTGCATATTACTTTAAAATTATTGTTTTACCTTTACAATACTTTGCACTCATATCGTTGTGGTCACTTTTTAACCCTTCCCTACTGGACATCTGTGGACAACTTTATAGCTCCTCGGATTGCTCCTCCAGTCTAAATAATGATTCCGATTCTGAGATAATATAGATGCTTAGACATTAGATCTAAAGTTATCGTTCTCTTTAAAAAAAAATACCCGACATGCTTATTGACCTCAATGTCGCCTAAATCCACGTGAATATTTACACTGAGAGAATTAAGGGACGTATTTGCTGAAAGTGATGTTGTCCATTCTCGCTCTCAAATCTCTCCTCCCACCACTCCCCTCTCCTTGTGTACAATCCACCGGGTCCCCTCCTTTTCCTGACTCGCCCCTCACCCCCTTTGCACTACAACAAATTTCCCCTCCACATGAAGCGAGAAGCACCTCTCTCCCTGTCGAGTTTCCGTTCCCTCCGCAGACCTCCCACCTCTTCTCCCTGGCCCACATCATTCCCTCCATCCCAAGGTACCCCCGTAATCCCCGTACCCACTAAATCTCCCTCTCCATACCCCATCCCTATTCACCATATTGCCTATAGCCACCCTCATTGTACCGCTCGTAGCCCTTGTAAAGCTCCTTGGATGAAGGCGCCGTATAAATGTGAGATACGGCAAAGTCCGTGGCGTTGTCCGCGATCGCTTGGGTGTCGAGAATTGTGCACTCTGCGAATAGCTACAGGGAGCCAGATGCGTTGCTTTTATAATTATTTTTACTATTTAAGAGAAGGCAATGGTGATCAGGGAGTTGACCCCGAGCCTCCACGTGCACAGTCGGGGTACAAAGCACGCCCCCGATTTAGATTTCGGGGCTGACCTCTGTGCTGGGATATGTGAGCTGTGGTGTTGTGACGTGGAGGGTGTCTCTGGTCGATATTGCAGACACGCAATTTATTTTAAAAAGGAAGACCTTTTCGATGTTATTTGTTTTACGTTTTACAAATCCCGCCCTCCCCTCCCCCCCATTCCTGGTGTTCAGCTGTTGTGGAGTCGCCCCCACTTCTACCGGAGGACAGAACACAACGCAAAGTCTCATCTCATCGTGTCCGAACTCTATTGCTTTCAACGTTGTAATTATCGTCTATTCAGCCGAGCTGTCCACCTCGCAAGGATTCACGACGGCAGGAGAGGAGACAGGGCGGACCGGCTGCAGTTTGCTTCTAGAAGTAACCAGCATCAATCCTACCTTTTGTGGCAGACGGACAACCGCTTATTTCCGACTCGCGCGCTACGCAGTTCCGTTCACTCAATCGCGTCACATTCAATTTGCAAAAAAAACGTGTTCCCCAATGCATTCACCGCATTGCATCCAATTCGCGTTTTGAAAACGACGCGCTGTGGGAGAAATGGACTCGACGGCAACATGCAGACATCGGTTATTCTGCGGGACGTTCTGATTCTTCTCATCTTAGATATACATAGATTTATATAGAGCCTTCATTCAAGGCGCTTTACAGTGTTAAAAACAAAAATGTGTACGTAAGATGATGGTAGTTGAAATGATAGTTGGGAGTTGTTAAATGTGGCGGTACAGTATAGTTATGGTGACAGGAGAATGGGTTGGGAGTTTGTTAAGGAGTGGTTTGGGGGTAGTGATAGGGGTTGGGTAGTAAGAGGAGTTGGGGTAGTGGCTTCTTTGTCTTTGCATATTCGCATGTGTATTTGTGTAAGTTCCTGCCTACGCTTGCGTGCAGGGTGGGGGAAGGAGGCGTGGGGGGTGGGCAATCGTTGATGTTCGTCTGTCTTTGTCTTTTCACGACGACAGGTAACAGGGGCACGGACAACATGTCGCTGCTCCCCACTACGGATTCGTCGCCCGCCTGGTTCAACGACAGCGCCGGCAACGGCACGGCCGCCAGCCCGGATGGACAGGGCGCCTACGGCAACGCCATCAATGCCACCGTCACGTTGGTCCTCGTCGTCACCATGGTGTCGCTGGGCTGCACCATGGAGCTCCAGCACATCGGCGCACACCTCAGGAAGCCCCGGGGCATTTTCATCGCCGTGCTGGCGCAGTTCGGCATCATGCCGCTCACCGCCTTCGCCTTGGCCAAGGTCTTCCGCCTGAATCCCGTGGAGGCCGTCACCGTCCTCATCTGCGGCTGCTGTCCCGGAGGGAACCTCTCCAACGTGTTCGCGATGGCGCTCGACGGAGACATGAACCTCAGGTCTCGGCGTGCGTGCCTATGTTGCGATTGTTACCACCACGCTGGCTGAATATAAGGGAGAGGCGAGCGAGGTTCGGCGCTGTCGTGGGGGTTTGGGGTCCTGGCTATCATTGTCGCTGTCATCGCTATAGTCTCTTCGTTGCCATCGTCAATAGAGTCAGCCAGCTATATTGTCTTTGTCGCTGTCTTCGATATATAGTCAACCTGCTATATAGTCGAATGTCGCCATCATCGCCATGTGGTCGGCACTATATCCTAACCTGTGACTGTGTCCTTATGCCATAGCTGTATGCCGACAAGAAATAATAAAGGAGCCCTCTACAATTATGTCTCTGAAGTCAATACATTACAAATAGAAAAGAATCAGAATCAGAAAAGTAATTCCCCGTGTATAAGTGTTGCACACTCGAAATGAAGGACGTTGGGCAGGTGCTCCAAATCGAGGGCAAACACATTAATTGTGGTTAATCTGTAAAATGCAACAGCACGTGTGTCACACACAGCAATTCTTGAACCGAGTCGCCATTAACCATGTGACTGGTGTCCAAGTGCGGTTATTCAATAACAGTTTTCTTCTTAAACCCAATTCTACTACTGATAAACCATCTTTATCTTTGACAATAACATTTGCACATCACTATTCGAATATTCCTTTAAACCCAAACTGCTGGTCTATCTACACCATCCACTTATATCGGTATCTTACACCCATTATCTGTACTGTATGTGTACAGTATACGTGCTGTGTCACCATTGTACAACTTACTACTTTACATGTGTTCTATTCTGAATAGCATTGCCAGTAGTCATACTCTGGGTGCATGGGCATCGTTATAGACTAAACAGTATTAGGGTTAGAGAATTACAATGACAGTAGGTAATTACGGTGCATCATCCTTTACAATGCACAGTGCTAAAAGCCCTCTAATTGAATATATCACAGACGAACAATTCAAAGCCAAGCTTAAAGTCTAGAACAAGTCTAGAACATTTATATAACGATCATAAACAACTTTTGGGTCCTTTACCTGTAAAATTCAACAGCACGTGGTGTCACATACAGCAATCCTTCCAAGTCGCCATTAACCACGTGACTGGTGTCCAAGTACGGTTATTCAATAACCCTGCCAGCCACCTACAGGCCCAACTCAGTCATCACATGCTGCTGTACACACATGCATTGATGCACTACACAGCACATCAGGACTTTCACAGAACCACACTTTACTCCCTTGCTGCTGCACAAGGATATAATTAAAAGAATGATCCATCCCTAATGTGCCACATGAGGCCCCCAGTGGGTTAAGAAGCTCTCGTTCAAGGGCGACTCAGTCGACAGACAACATCAACGCATTCCACAGTTACAGATTTAAAAAAAAGAGCAACAACTTAATAATATTTTGTTAAATGACATTCACACTAACACTTTCGTTTTGTAACAAAAATTGTTCGTTTAAATGAGGACGGAGGTGTCACACTGGAGAGGCCAAGAAACGAAACTGGGAGGTTCCAAACACTTCGGGTGCAGACACGTTAAATGCCTTCAATCTAAATTGTGTGCGAAATCCGTGGAACTATCAATGGACAATCAGGCGCGCGTCGGTGTGTGGTGACGTTGCCGTTGTACTTTCTTCGTGTGCAGCATCCTCATGACCACGTGCTCCACCGTGCTGGCGCTGGGCATGATGCCGCTGCTGCTGTGGGCGTACAGCCACGGCCTGTCGGACACGCGCTTCGTCATTCCCTACGCGAAGATCTCCATCGCCCTCGCTCTCATCCTCTTGCCCTGCGCCGTGGGAATCTTCATCAACGCAAAGTTCCCCAAGTACTCGCACGTGATCCTGCGGGTGAGTACGCAGCATCATGCGGCGTAATGCTGTTGCTGCTGTGTGCGAGCGTCTCTTAACCCTTTCCCGTTCCGATGACGAACGTGTACGTCATCGGTTTTTCTTTCGATTCTGTTCCGATGGCGTACGTGTACGTCACCGGAAAAAAAGTATAATAAAATAACTTTATCAGTACCGAGGCTCCCACAAGTCTATGCTAGAGGGCGTGGGGCACAGTTTGGCGCCAGCTATTCTCGAGTGCGGTCGTGTCGCTACGGTTCTCTGCGGTGAGTACAATGTCTTTAAGAACAACGGCGCTGCGCCTCTCTAAATAAAATTAACCGTCAGCTGCTTGCGTGTTCCGAGATTCAGAGGTGAACGGGACACCCACCCTTGCAACTTGCAGACGTCTCAGAACGGGAAAGGGTTAAGGATGGCGTAACGTGAGTTGGCTGTGTGGCTGAGAGGAAAGAGTGCTGAGCTGGCAACGATGAGAAGGGTTCTAATCCATCGGCCTCCAGTGATTTAAACCTTGTTCTCTACAGCGGAGTGAGTTGATGGCCTTACCCCGGTTAACAATGAAAAAAGGCACGCAATTAAATTTTTCACTTAACATGGATGAATTACATCTCCGAGAAGCAAATCAGTTGGACTATCACACAACAAACGTTGTTCTTGTTGGCCGGGCAGGCGGGCGGGAAAGTGCCGCCACCTTCTCTGTGGGACAGACGTCCAGGCGCGATGAGACGAGCTCGCTATCGGGAGCTGGATGCTGGATGGACCGTTGCATCGCAGAACCGTGACGGAGGGCGACGGCTTGGTGGGAGGAGAGGCGGAAGGGGGGGGGGTGGTGGAGGCCTCCATCCAGCGGTGGACATAGATCCTGACCGAGACGATGCAAGCTTCTTGCCTGGTAGAAGCCAAGGTTCTGTCTTCCCGTCGCTGTGTGCCGCAGGCTGGGATGGTGCTCCTGCTGGTGACCGGGATTGTCTTCATCGTCCTGACGGCGCTGTACGTGGGCTCCGCCATCTGGCTCGTGTTCTCTCCCACGCTCATCTCCATTGCAGTGCTCATGCCCCTGCTCGGATACACGCTGGGATTCGTCCTCGCGGGGATCTTCCACCTCTCCTACAAGTGCGCGTCTCAGTACAGGGATACCAGTGGTGGCCCTTGACATAAGCAAATTAAGTGGATTAAATGGGGGGGTGGTGGGGGCACATCCGTGAAGGAATATGGGTGCACCACATATCAGCTTGGGCGCCACGGTGGCGAGACGTTAACTCCCTCGCCTCGTATGCAAGGAGGTCGTGGGTTCGATCCTGACCCTGACGCTTGTATATTTGAAGTTTGCATGCTCTCCCTGTGGTCGCGTGGATTTTTCTTCGCGTCCTCCGGTTTACCTTCCACATTTAGAAGCGCGTGTTTAGAATATTTGGCTGCTATGAATTTGCACACAGTACTATTGGCCAGGTTGCTTCTGAAAACAAGCTCAGTGGGCCTTACCTGGTAAATAAAAGAAAGTTAATTCACGTGCTTTTGAACATAATGCTAATAACACGTTTAAATTTGTTTTATTGTAAGTCTAATAACTAAGATGTTTAACACATTCGTCAATAACAGTGGCCTTAAAATAATAAAAATATATATTAAATTACGTACGTTTTTAATATAGAATCATGTCCGTGCTATGAAGAAGGACCATTGCTAGAATTCTCACCTCATTTGTTTATTTTAAAGCCACAGTGTAATTGATGAATGTGTTGAGTTTTTGTTGATTGTTCTTGTGTGCACCACTGCCAGCATCAACCGGGAGACGTAGGAATGAAGCGTCTTTATAAATCCTTTATATTAAGTTCACTTGCTTGCTTGCTTGCGCGCTTACGACCGTGCAAATCTTTCGGTCGTTTTTTAACCCACTTCCCGTGATCCAATCGAGCTGACATTTTGCACACAGACTCGTTGTGCGTGACAATTTATTTTCGTGAAATTTTTTTTCAAAATTTTTACACTTTTTAGGAAAAAATAAATTATATTTAATTACCAATTGCTTAATGGTGGCAGGCTATCATCTGACCCATAGGTGGCAGCCATCTCAAGCCAGAGGACGAGAGGACTCTAGCCGCCACACATATAAAGAATTTATAGTGAAAAACTTTGTTTTTACGGGTTAATTTTTTCCTTTGTCCACCCATAAAAGGCCCGACTCGCGTTTCGTCTGCTTTGATCATGCTAGCGATGCCCGTTTACAAAGCTACAACAAAACTCGGCGATAAAACTTCATTCGATCACAATTTTTTCATTCGCTACACGTCCCATTGTTGTGATCCCTATTCCGTGTCTGATTTTTGTCAGCCTCTCTCAGACTGGAGAGAAATTCATTGGGCGTAATTTACCTCCCACGCTTACACAAATAAGATAATGCCACAAGTGTGTGGCTTATGTCCAGATCAAAATCCCCACAAACCAAGACCCCCCAATCACTGCGTCTTCATGTGGTGCAGTAAATAGGTTTGTTCTGTCATCAATCTCAATTGATGCCCCTCTGTTCTGGAATCACTTGACCTCCCATACCGCATTGAAATTAAATTCCAACCATAGCTGAGTTAAAAAAACATAATAATGAATAGCCTTGACGAAGACCTGTGTACATTTTTTAAAATAAGATAAGTGCTTGTTTTCATGTTTTGTTTTCGCCTTTATTCAATCTGTTTTCGCACTCATTACACACAAATTGTTTGCCGCAAATGAACCACAATACCTTGTTGACCTCGTCAAGGAGCGTACACCATTAGGCAAACTCCGGCCATCCTCGCAGTGGCTTTTGGCTAACCATCGAACAAAGACGGCCACTGCTTCGCACGCTGTCAGATGCGCTTCTGTGGCCGTCTGGATAGCTCTTCCTTCCAATATTCGGAAGCCACTGGAGCTATGCACTTTTAAATGTAATTTTAAAACTAATTCCTTTAGAACGGTTTTTTTGTGTTCAGTTTGTTGTCCTTCCCCCACACATACGTTGAGCATGTTTGTCTAAGTACAGCGTGAAAGAAGTTCAAGATACATACATACGTCTAAGTCTACATTTTACCAGAATGTTGACTAATTTCTGCCTCTTCGGGAGTGAACGAACGCCGTGCGGTGCATTACAAGTCGAAATAATTATAATACAATAATGATTGTCATAATCATTATTGTACATATTTTTCAAACTGCAATTCACATTCTTTACTTGTTATTGTAACATTATAGTGTAGATTTCTTGCATTTATACGTAATCAACCAGGCTATGCGTTAATTGTGTGTTGACCGACTCTCTGTGTTGCATTACATCACATTTCGATATTTTGCGAGGTTATTTAATTTTAGTGTGCCTTTCTCCTAATTTTCAAGCTTGCGTGCCGTGCCACGTCGTCATCTTACTTGCACAGCAGCAACACGTTGTCGTCCACTCATTGATATGCTAATTTTCTCTGCCCCCTCCCTTTCTCCGTCCCCGCCCCCCCCTCTCTATATTTAAGGGACCGTCACAGAAACGACCCCTCTCTTTGTGCCGATATGTGTCCTCTCTCTGTGTGTCCTTGTGATGTCTGTCTGCTTGTATGTCTGTCTATAGTTTTCTAGTTAGATTTTTGTTGCTATTTCTTTTATGCCTGATGATGATTGCTTGTGTTGCAATCGAAACGTCGCTATTATTTTAATTTATTATTTTATCTTTAGACGTGACTTAACCGAAAGAACCAAAGAATAATCTAAGATGTTTTTGTTCATTATCATTTGGGGGTACTTAAATGGCTTGATGTAACCCAGTTCACCCTTCACATGAGAGCCGACATTTCGCGTGTCTCAATTGGTTTACTCAATGCCCTTATTAAATGAAGATACTGACTGAGGTAGGAATATATGAAAGTCTTCCAGGAAATTGACTGTCCTGGATGTTGTCAGTCGTGTAATAATACACTTCTGAAGGCCAATGCATTTGCACGTGGTTCTTGTCTCTGCCAGGGTTGCAAGATAGTCTTCTGCCCCTGCTATATATGCCAGTTGCTCTGTATCTTAGAGTTGGCAACCAAAACAACAGTGGTGGTGCTAGGCACATGCAAACTAAGCAAAAGCATAGGGTCCCAAGCGGCTCAAGGGGCACTGCATTAATTGAAAATGTAATAGTGAACCAAATATCAGCTTCAGTGGGTCTCTCCTTAGGGCTTCCAATGTGCCAGTACCACAACTGGCAAACAACAACAACAACAATGATAACGCCCATTCCCTCTCTCCCCGGCTCTCACGAAACAGATGCAGACGTGCCATCTCCATGGAAACAGGATTCCAGAACCTGCAGCTGTGCTCCGCCATCCTGAGGCTGACCTTTGACCCGAAAGTGATCGGCCCGCTTTACCTATTCCCGCTGCTCTACATCATCTTCCAGATTTCGATGGCGCTGCTGCTCGTGCTCACGTTCCGGTTGTACGTCCACTGCTACCGGCAAAAAGAACAGCGCCACACCGGTACGCCTGCCCCAAGGCACCGTCGTCTCTGATGTTGTGACCGTAGGGAGATTTATGAGCCAAAAACAAGTGGGGGGGGGGGGGGGGTCTTAACACTGAAAAATTGAGAACCGACACAGCCCCACCGAGGAACACCCGTGTCTAAACTAAACTAGTTTTTGGTCTTGCCAGGTAAGACCCACTGAGCTTCCTAGCTCTTTTTCAGAAGCGACCTGGCCACAATTGATAGTTCAACCAAGTGGCTTGTCACGTGGAAATGTATCGCGGCCGAATGCTCTAAGAGGCGTGTTTATAAGTGTGGAGGGAAAAACCCCGAGGACCCGGAGAAAAATCCACGCCATCACGGGGAGAGAGACACGCAAACTCCTGTCACGCTTTTCAACGAACTCTTGTTTTCATTGGCAAGACATAAACCCCGTAACGTTTTTGCTATTGCCGTGGCTAGTTTCCAGTTGTTCGGAGTACATGCGTTGCGAGTACCAATGACCAATGACGATCTCCTTACGATTACTCCAGCAGTAGGATACTGGAATCTGTGTTGCTCATGAACATTCTGTTGTACACATCAGATAAACATTACGATGTATGTTTATTTAGCACCTAAATGCATGCTGTATAGAACTGTGATGCACAAGACTGCAAGACGGCGTAGTGGCCAGCAGAGAGAAATGCAGTAATATATATTGTTGGACTGTACTATGCAGCCACGCCAATGCTCTCTTATCTCCAACAACCCGCATTGACCAGCGTGGTGAAGTATGGTCAAATAACCCCCGCAACCCACATGGCGTGGGGAGGCACTCACTGATCCAGCAGTGGATTAACAAAAACGGTTGGACATGTAATGCGGGCAGTTCCTACCATAGGAATGTGGAATTTCCATCACTAGCTCAGGGCCGGCAATAAGATATGACCATCGTGCCTTGCATGTTTTGAGTAAGGAGCAGTGTTTTACTGGTAGTAACCTCCTGGTTACACCAGCCCACGGGATGATTGTGTCCATCCGTCGTGCAGGGTGGGGAGGGGCTGCTCACCCCGTGGTGCCCTTATAAAACTCAACATTTAACCTACTCACGTCGGCTTGTGCCCGCCCTCACAGTCGGGCATATTTGCGGAATACACCACGCCGCCGTTGACCCTGGCCATTGACAGAACAACCCAACGTTCCTACCAGCTCCCTCCGCAGGAATGTGTTATTTGACCCGGTACTGTGAAAGCTTGCGCGTGACGTCACCTGATTTTCCCACTTGTGTTGCGTCCGTGTCGTTTTACACAGAGGCAACCGTCGAGATCTACAGCATCAAGCTTGAAGGTGAAGTTGTGGAGTTGGATGGCGGTATGTCAAGGCACAAGAGTGAAGATGACAGAAAGGAATCTTTTTTCCGGAACAGCCTTTTGACTTTGTTTAAACTAGGCCTCAACTTAAGCTGCCCTGCACTTGTTTTAGTGATATGGGAGGACTTTGCCTATGGAGCAGAATGATCACCGAGCTCGTGGTTTTTGAAGTCACACCAGAAATTACCGTGGATTTAGCAACCACATTTTTTTGCGGAGGGCCTGTGATGCAGAGGTCAGAGCACAGAGCTGGTGCCTAAACCATCCTGGCTTTGAATCCAGACAGCTGCCTATGATCAAACTGGGCTCCCAAGTGTCAATACCGTTGTTGATTGTCTCAGTCAAGTGACCAAAGGCTGCATTTTAATTTGGCGAATTTCCACCTGTTCAGAGGCATTCTCAGTGGCGGCAGAGGTGGTTTGGGAAGTGCGACTCCTTCCCGTGTGCAACGTGTCTCAGCTGCTCTGCTCCGTCACCATGTGGATCGTGGGTTCACTTGAAGGAATTTCGGAGGAAGCGAGCTCTGTGCCCCACGTTTTGGTGGGCCGATGTCTAATACGAAGAGCTGCACTGATCTGTTGAGATATTCGAATGAACACTTCATATCAGAACTTACCTCAATCTGGATGCAATTGGGAAAAAAAAATACAAAAGTAATTAAAAAAGCAAACGAACTGAATTGTGTCTATTTGCTTTAGTTATGTTGTCTTGACGACACAGTGTGTCGATAACTTGATCTTGTAACTCCGTGGCTTTGTCATCTTCGTTCAAAGAGAGCCTCGATTTATTATAATCTACTAAGCGTGTGTGTGGCCAGATTTGTATCTGGGGAGCGGCAGTGTAGTGGTTATCATGCTGTGCATATGAACCTGGCAACCCGGGTCTGATTCCTGCTGACGGCCAACACCGGTGACGATTATTTGAACCGGTCCTGGGCCTCACCTAGGTCGACTCAGCCTCGAATGAGTTCTTGGTGCGATGTGTAAACATCGCCACTGGGGAGACAAAGGCGGCCAGGGCATGGTGCTGGCCACCCACACGCTCGTGTGCCATGCCGGCCTTCATAGGTGCTCGCTAACAGTGCTTGCCCCAACAGTCTGTTAAGGCTACACGGGGAATCTTTTTGGCCAGATTTGTATAACTCTTATTGATACCGGGTAGAAGTATGGGGTGCGTCCTACTTTCCGGAACATCTCATAATCCGGAGAATGCCATCAAAGTAAAAATGTCTTAAGCGCGGTACAGCAATTAACGATGTGCCTGGACCATGTTGTCAAAACTTCTTGGAGATGTTCCACGTTCAGGGCCAAATAATTTACTGCACTTTGTTGCAACAAAAAAAATCCTTTGTTAAAGTTTGTTGATTAAAAAGTAAATCAAAACGGCTTTCATATAAATTGCCGACACACTAACAATCTTCCCGATATTTTATGGAAACTCTTCATCTGTGCTTGCCATGATCATCATCACCTGCGTCACCGGCTATGATCAATCCGCTGCTGGATGATGGCCTACTCAAGCCGTCACCATCCCTCGCGAGCCTGCGATGCAACACAATCCATCTAGCACCTGCACACAATTTCATCGCTCCATCTCTCCTCTGACGTACCTGAGTGGTGTGTATGTACTGAGTATCTGTAAATAATCTCCCAAGCTGAGCAATACGTTACAATATGTTGAAGAACCTGCTGAATTTCCATAACACGATATATTTTGTAAATGTTGTGGGTTTACTCTCCAACACACCGGTGTGCTGAACTAGTAACGAATTGATATAAAGCTTTCGTGACTGCAGGGATTCATATTCTTGTTTTTTTCGGTAAAGTCACGTAGAAGGGAAATAATAAAATAATGTTTTTTTAATTTTTTATATTAATATTATTTTATTATTTCCTTTCTACGTGACTTTACCGAAAGAACCAAGAACATAGTAACGAATTGGCACGTTTTGTCGACGTGACAAACGTTACCAATTGGCTGTGCCGGGTGGTGGCGGCTTTAACGACACATTTATATTTACGCGATATAACCCAAAAAAACCTCTCGTATTGTAGTGGTAGCGAATGCTTTCGTTAAATTGATTAACTTCACGGGCAATTCAGTAGGCGGCGCTCTAAAAGCATGAATACGTGACGTGGAGTTTAGAATTAAATTGTCCTAGCGGGTTTTAAAATCACTCTTTCTCCTGCACCTCACCAATGTCGCCTCACCAACGCACCACAATCTCGCTCATTCCGTGTCAACGCACCACGGTCTAGCCCGTGTTGTTGTCCAGGGAAATTTAGTTTTTTGACGGTCCATACGGCGTACAGCCGTTTCAATAGGGGCACAGACACATGTATCTATTTGCTTGTGTTTCTCCCTCGTGATGGGACTTTGTAGGATGAAGGTTGAGATGTATAGGGGGCACGGGGTGACCAATAAGGTTCTGAATTGGTCTGTAAAAAATTAACCCGTAAAAACAAAGTTTTTCACTCTAAATCCTTTATATGTGTAGTGGTGATACGCGCTGACAGGAGGGATCGTGAGGCAGCGCGTGGTGATTGGTTACATCGAGTGGGTGCTCACATCGCGGTCCGCATAGGCTCCGCCCCCTCGGGAGCGGAGGGCTATGTAAGGCGATGCGCGCGGGCACTCGGGGAGTTGGTAACCGGTGAAGACAGAAGACGGAGGAAGAGATAGGCCCTGGGACCCCTCGCCCCGCTGCCCTTGTAAGGGCCGGGGTTCTGTGAGGCTCAGAGGCGAGGCCTTGGGATTCACGGTCCGACGCCCTTGTAAGGGCTCGGGCTGTGTAGCCCAGTGGTCGAGACCCGTGGTCTAGCAAGAGGGGTCTGATAGTTCCCCGTGGGGAGAGCGTAGCTGGAGAGCCTGAGTCGAGGCAGAGATAGGCACGTGTACCGTACGGGAGAGACTGAGTGCGGCCCGAGCCGAGTGCGCGTAGGGGTCTGATAGTTCCCCCGTGGGGAGAGCGTAGCCGGAGAGCCTGAGTCGAGGCAGAGTTAGGTGCGCGTACCCCACGGGGAAGACGGAGTGCGTGGCCGAGTCAGGCACGTGTGACATAGGTGTTATCTCGGTTGGGACTGTTACGTGTGCAACCGCTGTGAATAAAGAGTGCTGCCCCGTCAACTCGTCTCCCACCATTATTGAAGATATTACATATGCGTGGCGGCTAGAGTCCTCTCGTCCTCTGGCTTGAGATGGCCGCCACCTATGGGTCAGATGATTGTCTGGCAGCATTAAACAATTGGTAATTAAATATTTACTTATTTTTCCCTAAACAGTGTAACATTTTGGAATTTTTTTTTTCACGAAAATGCATTGTCACGCACAACGAGTCTGTGTGCAAAATGTCAGCTCGATTGGATCACGGGGAGTGGGTTAAAAAACGACCGAAAGATTTGCACGGTCCTAAGCAAGCAAGCGAACTTAATATAAAGGATTTAATAGGGTAAGGGGTTGACGGGTATGGTCGCGTGACTGAATCACCCATAATATCGTTTTTAGGGGGTTAGATCGCGTAAATATAAACGTGTCGTTAAACCCCCCACCACCCGACACAGCCACTTGGAGTAAAGGGGTTGTCACGTAAACAGAACGTGCCAATTCGTCACGAGTACAGCACGAACCGGTGTGTTGGAGAGCAAATCAAGAACATTTACAATCTGAGTACGACGTTTCGCCAGTAATTACAACCAGCTTCATCAGGTGACAGCCAGATTTGTGAAGTCCTCCTACCGAGACTCAATTGTCGCGTGACGTCATCACTCTCGCTGCCTTGTGTGTCCCATGACGTCATCACCCCCCTCCTCACAACACGAGCCCAATCTTGCGTGACGTCATCACTCCTCTCGCTGACTAGTCACCCGTGACGTCATCAGTCCCCCTTTCCTCAACACGACCCCAATCTTGCGTGACGTCATCACTCCTCTCACCGACAGCCCGCTGTCTCCAATGTCATCAACCCCTCCACCTCACTAGCGTAGCGTGACGTCATAACCTCACCCCCCCCCCTCCGCTCAAAGTAGCAAAAAGTTTTTATTTCTGCTTCATCTACTCCAGCGCGTTACAGAGACAGAGACGAGCAAGTGAATTGTCATATATAGAGAAGAAGAAGGCCATTGCTGGCACCGCCTTGAATGTGTGTGTTTGCACTGCAGTGGTGGTATATTTTTATTATTTATTTTTATTACTTATTTTTACCTACCTGAACTTACCGAAAAAAACCTAAGAGTACTGCAGTGGTGTTTTTAATTTGATGTATCAAATTCGTAGCCATAGAGTCAACATTGGGGGGGACCAAATCTCCAGGGAGTCTGGGGGTCCCCCCCCCCCAGAAAAAAAATATCAAAATTTGAAAACTAATTTCCTGCCTTAAAAAATCACTAACACATGGGATGGGCTTTTAGTTATTGTTTACAATAATGTCTAATAGAGTATTGTATTACATTGATCTGTTTTTTCTTTTTTTACCTGTTCTTGTTTCATTGTATGTAATGGCAGAGATTAGGGATTAATAAAGTACAACCATAACCACACTCATATAAACATTAATCTATTTTATAGCACTATATTGGGGGGGACATTTTGAGCATATTTGAATATTGGGGGGGGGGGGGGGGGATGTGTCCTCTCCAATATATATGATAATTACGGCCTTGTGATGTATGTTGCAAGGTACGGGTGTTTGTAAAAATCACGTGCATCGCTCGCACTCGTCGTTCTACAAGCACTTGTAAACAAAGTGAACTCATTTGTTTGGTAATTATTCTGAAACTGGCTCATAGTCTGGCAAGTTTTCCTGCACGTGGTTATTGGCATGTTGGAGTCCTCGTCCGCCATGATCAGTCCACTGCTGGATGAATTTCACCATTCTAGATTTGAAGCTTTCGTGACTGCAAGGATTCATACTCTTAGGTTTTTTCGGTAAAGTCACGTAGATAAAAAATAAATAATAAAAATAAATAATAGAAAAAAAGAATAGAAATAAAATAATAATTCACCAAATTTTTATTTTATTTCTATTATTTATTATTACTTATTATTTATTTACCTACGTGACTTTACCGAAAAAACCTAAGAGCATGAATGTCACCACGGTGCTGAGATTCAAGTCCATCCGTCTTCCGAGCACGAGTATGTTTTATTGATTCATCTCATTTCCGATCCGTTGGCTGCCACTCCGTCGTTAGCCTCGACTCTGGAGTCTCGACCAAGAGCCACCATCACTTCTGCCGACGTGTCACGGGGCTAGAAACCCCAATTTTTCACGCAAAAAATGTTGAAGCCAGGGTTTTGCTAATGAGGGTTTTATGACCTCACAGCAGGGAGAGGGGGGGGGCAGGGAGAGGGGGGGAGAGGGGGGGGGAGAGGGGGGGAGCAGGGAGAGGGGGGGCAGGGAGGGGGGGGCAGGGAGGGGGGGGGGAGAGGGGGGAGCAGGGAGAGGGGGGGCAGGGAGGGGGGGGGCAGGGAGGGGGGGGGGAGAGGGGGGGAGCAGGGAGAGGGGGGGCAGGGAGGGGGGGGGCAGGGAGAGGGGGGAGAGGGGGGAGCAGGGAGAGGGGGGGCAGGGAGGGGGGGGCAGGGAGGGGGGGGGGCAGGGAGAGGGGGGGGGGCAGGGAGAAGGGGGGGGGGCGGTGAGAGGGAGAGGGGGGGGAGAGGGGGAGCAGGGAGAGGGGGGGCAGGGAGAGGGGGGGGCAGGGGGAGGGGGGGGGCAAGGAGAGGGGGAGCAGGGAGGGGGGGGAGCAGGGAGAGGGGGGGGGAGAGGGGGCAGGGAGAGGGGGGGGCAGGGAGAGGGGGGGCAGGGGGAGGGGGGGGGCAGGGAGAGGGGGGGGGGCAGGGGGAGGGGGGGCAGGGAGAGGGGGCAGGGAGAGGAGGGGGCTGGGAGAGGGGGAGCAGGGAAAGGGGGGGGAGCAGGGAGAAGGGGGGGGCAGGGAGAGGGGGGGGAGGGGGGGGAGCAGGGAGAGGGGGGGCAGGGAGAGGGGGGGGGGGCAGGGAGAAGGGAGGGGGGCGAGGGGGGGGAGAGGGGGCGTGTACGAGACGAAGGCGGAAGCGGAAACGAGGAACGGAAACGCATCGCACGTGGGTGGCGTGCAGCGTGGTGGGGATCGCGTGTTGCCTTGGAGCGATCCAGAGTCGCGGTCAACAATTCCAGCTCTCGCGTCAAGTCACCAATCGATTAGTATCTGTGTGTGTGTGTGTGTTTTATATCGATGAAAATTCAACGCAAAGTCGGCACAGTGGCTAAAGCAGTGACTCTTGACCCACACTTCACACCGATCGCCAGTGATATCTGTATATAGATATAAAAACACGATTATCCTTCAAGCGACAATCGGGTATCGAGAGCGCGCGTATCGATAGTGCAATCGATTCATGTCGTCTCTTACAACAAGAGGCAGCGATGGCGTGGGCATCGCTACAGAGGAACAAGACGTTCAAATACGGGGTCCCCATGCTGGTGAGAGCGAGAGAGAGAGACACAGAGAGAGAGAGGCGTCCAGGCGCAACGCCTGTCCGACGTTTCGTGACGGAGAGCCTGTGCAGCAGCAGCAGTGTTAGTAGCACTCACGCCGCCCTTGAGATGTCCGTGTGTCACAACACGTGTATAACGAGTGGAGGAGAGTGAGTGAGCGTGTGTGTGTGTGTGTTGAAGTGATAGCGTGTGCATCGGTTAGCGCGCTGCGCTACGAACCCGGCGACCCGAGTTCGATTTCTGGGGGAGGTTCATTGACGATTATCTGAACCGGAATGTTAATTTACAATCTACTAGGCGTGTGTGTGGCCGCGTATTTGTATCTGGGGAGCTGTAGTGTAGCGGTCAGCACGCCGTGCACACGAACCTTAATCTAAGCTGTCTTGTGGTTGTTGTTGTTGTTGTTTGACTTGCATCCCACTGAGATTTTTGCACACAGCGTTGGTTTACGGTGTTTTTTCTGCAATATTTTGCTGTCTTTTCTTGAATTTTCTGTTTGCACTTAGTCACATATTCACTTTAAGATGTTTTTTGTTCATGTTTTTGTTTTGTGTTTGTTGCGGTTGCACCCGATTCAAGAGCTGAATGGCTCACAGGGCTATACCTAATACATGAACTTGAACTTGAACACCAGTGACGATTATCTGAACCGGTGCTGGGTCTCTTGGGGTGCGGTGGTGCAAACATCGCCACTGGGGAGACAAAGGCGGCCGGGTGTGGTGTTGGCCACCCACCCAACCCCTTCGTGTGCCGTGCCGGTGTTTCAAAAGTGCTCGCTCACAGGACTTGCCCCAGCAGTCTGTTACGGCTATGGAGCTCAAAGTACACCTAGCCTGGCACAAGCGCCACCGCCGTGATGTCACCTGAACTTAGTGGCGAGTTTGTTTTGCTTTGTTGAAGCTCCCCAAGAAATGAGACTTCCCAAAGGAACAAGTCGTTGGCAGTTCCCTGTAAGAAGAAGTGGGAATCGCGTGGGTGCGAATCTTGGCGGTGATGGGATTGGGACGTTCAGGATTTGATGTACACGATGTTCACGTCTTGTGTGTCCATGGTTCCACACACACACCGCTTTATCAGTGTGTATAAATGTCTCTGTACACGTGTCCGTGTCTCTTCTTGTTTCATGCCGTGCGCCTGTTTCTTGTCCGTCTCTGTGTTGCTATCACTAATCTTCTGTTCTTGCCCCAACAGTCGGTGAAGGTTATACGGGGGATCTTTGTAATCTGCACGTCTGTCCTCGTGATGTTTATCGATTGTGGCCCTGTCAGAACTGGCATCACGGTGGCGAGGATATGTTCACCACCTCGCCTGGTCTACAGGAGGTCGTGGGGTCAATCCCGACCCTGACGCCTGCTGCTGTATATTTGGAGTTTGTGTCTCTCTCTCATCATCACAGTGGATAGGAGATGTTAACCACCTCGCCTGGTCTACAGGAGGTCGTGGGGTCAATCCCGACCCTGACGCCTGCTGTTGTATATTTGGAGTTTGTGTCTCTCTCTCATCATCACAGTGGATAGGAGATGTTAACCACCTCGCCTGGTATACAGGAGGTCGTGGGGTCAATCCCGACCCTGACGCCTGCTGCTCTATATTTGGAGTTTGCGTCTCTCTCATCATCATCACAGTGGCTAGGAGATGTTCACCGCCTCGCCTGGTATGCAGGAGGTCGTGGGGTCAATCCCGACCCTGACGCCTGCTGCTGTATATTTGGAGTTTGCGTCTCTCTCTCTCATCATCACGGTGGCTAGGAGATGTTCACCACCTCACCTGGTATGCAGGAGGTCGTGGGTTTAATCCCGACCCTGACGCCTGCTGCTGTATATTTGGAGTTTGCGTCTCTCTCTCATCATCACAGTGGATAGGAGATGTTAACCACCTCGCCTGGTCTACAGGAGGTCGTGGGGTCAATCCCGACCCTGACGCCTGCTGCTGTATATTTGGAGTTTGCGTCTCTCTCTCATCATCACAGTGGATAGGAGATGTTAACCACCTCGCCTGGTCTACAGGAGGTCGTGGGGTCAATCCGGACCCTGACGCCTACTGCTGTATGTTTGGAGTTTGCGTCTCTCTCTCTTTCATCATCACAGTGGCTAGGAGATGTTCACCACCTCGCCTGGTATGCAGGAGGTCGTGGGTTCAATCCCGACCCTGACGCCTGCTGCTGTATATTTGGAGTTTGCGTGTCTCTCTCTCTCATCATCACGGTGGCTAGGAGATGTTCACCACCTCGCCTGGTATGCCAGAGGTCGTGGGTTCAATCCCGACCCTGACGCCTGCTGCTGTATATTTGGAGTTTGCGTGTCTCTCTCTCTCATCATCACGATGGCTAGGAGATGTTCACCACCTCGCCTGGTATGCCAGAGGTCGTGGGTTCAATCCCGACCCTGACGCCTGCTGCTGTTTATTTGGAGTTTGCGTGTTCTCCCCGTGGTCGCGTGGATTTGTTTACTGATCCACATTGAGAAGCACGCGTTGAGAGTTTTTGTCTGCTAGGAATTTCCTATCTGGTCAAATGAAAACGAGTTTTTTTTTGTTAGTACGTCTGCGTTTATCTGTGCGGCAGACTTTACGTGGCTCTCTGTCGCTTTCACTCAGGGATGTAATGTCGTGTCTGTGTGTTGAGACAGCTTGGTTGGTGGTGATGTTGATGATAATGAAACTCCTCTCAAGGGCGTCCTGTGACCTTCTGCTAAAGAGTAGCGACCACCCTCATCAATCACTTGGCCACGTGCACCAGTGTGGATGGCAACATTATTTAATGCGGTGTCACTCGCTGACAGCAACATACTTAACATAATAAGGCTTACACGTGGGCAGCAATCTTAAAATATACTATGGCAACAAATTTCATGTCGCGTTTTTGCCGAATACTCAGATTTTACTATTAGATTTTTTGTATTTTTCACAATTTTGCGATCGGTTTGCCCACAAGCGCAAAGTGTGCATTCGGAATTCTCGCGAGGGTTGTTTGCGGAACGGCTCGTGGAAGGAGATATCGCAGATCTACTTCCGAGAAACCGTCAAGTGACTTCATGCACACGAGGGGAACTGCACTCTCACATTTAGTAACTTCAGAGATGTTCATCTTCTAGCTCGAAAAATCGATGTGTTCAGTTCTCAACTGGAATTTAGCCAAATGAGTTGAAAAAACGAATGTCACATTTCGTTTTTTGAGGTGATTGCGCTCAGACTATCAACTTGCTACAATTGAGAACCAGGTTTAACCCCTCTCAAAAGACAAAGATCCCCCGTATAGCCTCAATAGACTGTAGGAGAAAGTGCTGTGAGCGAGCACCTATGAAGGCCGGCACAACGCAGCACACTAGGGGATGGGGTGGCCAGCACCACACCTGGCCACCTTTGTTTCCCCAGTGGCAAAGTATACAACCACACCAGGTACTCATTTAAGGCTGAGTCGACCTAGAGGAGGCACAGGACCGGTTCATATTATCGTCACTGGTGTTGGCCTTGAGCAGGAATGAAACCCGGTTGGCTGGGTTCATGGTGCAGTGCTCGAACTGCTACACTACTGCTGCTCAATTCTAGATTTGAAGCTTTCGTGACTGCAAGGATTCATATTCTTAGGTTTTTTCGGTAAAGTCACGTAGGCGTAGTCACAAACCGAACCTCTCCCTAATAAAGGCTCAGTCTTTTGTTATGCAGTCTATTCATAGTCTCAAACCACACCTTACCATAATAAATAGTGGGCCATTCCTGCCCCTTCCCCCCCCTCAACCATTATATATACGGAGTGGTAATCTCTCATTTACTTGATACAGCTGTCGGGCTGTGACGGTTCCACCTGAAGACGGAAGCTTGTGTTGCCTCCGAAACGTCGTGATTTTTATTTTATTTTATTTTTATTAATTTTAATGTTTTACCTACGTGACTTTACCGAAAAAACCTAAGAATACTGATGCTCACTATCGGGCAGCGAAAAACCAAAATTTTTAGCCAAGGATGTCGGTGGTCCTCATCTGTCTCTCACCTCTGGACCACCTGGACATCTCCGAAGCTTTACTCATTTGGAAATATTTTATTTTCCAAACTCCATTTTCAGAATTTTTTTTTAATGCTCAGAATATATTGAATTCATAGACTTCACGTCAAGGCAAAATCAATAAAAAAAACATCATCTTATAGTTAAGTACATTGGGTTTGTTCTGTAAATTTGAAGTGTGATGTAAGTTTATTTTAGTTTTAAATAATGAGAGGGGACATTCCTTCGAGGTAAGATCATTTAAACACAATAGGATCGTGTAGGAACCTGTGACCCAACATTGTTGAGTCCTGGGTTCTAATCCGGGCAGCTGAATCAACCAGGTTCTTAAGTGTGTGTTCCCGTAGTGAGCTGATGGTCTCAGACTTGTCACTAAAGTAAAAAAAAAACCTATTAAGTTTCGTTTTTACCATTTGGCAAAATTTTAGCTCTCACAAAAAAAAATATTGGTTTGGCTATCACATCACAAACATTACTCAGTCGCAAACGAATAGGGAAAGTATTTCTGCCGACTGTAGAGACCAGAAGTCACTTGAAGGTATCTGGGAGGGGCCACTGATATCAAAATTAGAATATATTTATGCTGGAGAAATACAATGAGCGATGAAGCTCTTTTTCACAGATGTCCAGTAGTTTCACAAATATCCACGGTGTCTGGGAGGTGACACTGATATCCGCTTTCGCGCTCCGATCTCGAACAACGCCGGCTTGCTCTGCAGCATGAGATTTTTCCGAACAGATTCTTGGCATCATGCGTTCATGCCTCGAGCACAATCGGAATAAAATTCGGGGTGAAAAAAAAAAATCTTCCACTTTTTCACCATTTTAAATTTCGGCATCGTCGCTTTGCTTCGGCAAGCACGGCCACTTTGGTGACGACGGCTTCTCCTGCCACGGCTGGCGATGACCTCGCGTTTCCAGGCCTCGTCCTGGCGCTGGCTGTTCATTGCTTCTGCACGGGCACACGCTGGCAGTTTGGACTTGG